CCTCAGTCCACCAGAAATGAATATGTAATCGCTTGGGGTTTTTAAAGGGTATGCCTTAAGTGTCATGCCTCACTGAGCTAATATGCTGGTAATCAAGCCACTATTCCCAGAGTTGTCCCAAAAGTTAAAGATTTTATATAAAACTGCTGCAAAACTCCCCAATTTACCTATCTTTTAGAAGAACAAACCAGGCTTCTATACTGAACAGGAATTATTATTTGTTACAAATGAATATATTCTAGTGCAGGTAAACACTTATGAACTGTCAACATGACAGTTAAAACTCCCTATAAGCACATGCAGACACACAACAAAATTGTGTTATGGCTGGAGGGAAAAACTGAGAGGTACCTGTCCACACGGTTCATTGAGATGATCCTTTTTGCTTGCCTGGAATTGCCGCTTCTCGATCTTCCTTCTCCAAGTATTTCCACTTGCTTACAGGAAGCACAGAGTGGCTGGTTCACAACTTATAAAGTCTCTGACTCATTGTTCCAGAGCAACAACTTACAGCAACAGGTGAGGGTTAATAAACTGGCTTTCTTCAGGCTTTAGGTATTTTTTAGTGCAGACAGCATCTCTTATCTTCCACCTTCTGGCTATACTGTCATACTCACTGGCTCTCAGGCAGTTTGGGGGCCTTTGTCATTGACAGTAGCTGGTCACTAGTCCACAGACCAGTCAGCTCCTTTTTGCTGGCCAAATCTTATTTTGTATACTCCCCCTGGTGCCAGTTCATCAGCAACGTAACTTCCCCACTGGTTGAACAAACAGCAGTGTAAATGGCACTGACAGTAAGTGATAGCTTGCTTTTCAAAACTGCAGCAATTCATTTCATAGAAACATAGAAAATGTGGACAGGAGTAGACCATTCAACCTTTTGAATTTGCTCTACCATTCAATATGATCATGGCTGATCTTCTACTTCAATGTCATATTCCCACTTTCTTCCCATACCCCTTGATGCCTTTAATATCTAAACATTTACTGACCTCATCCTTGCATATATTCAGTAATTGGCCTGCACAGCCTTTTGTGGTGCTTGTGGTAAACTCCACAGGTTCACTACCCTCTGAATGAAGAAATATTTCCTCATCTCAGTCCTAAATGGCCTACCTCATGTCCTGAGATTGTGTCCCCTGGTTCTTGACTCCCAAACCAGGGAAAACATCCTACCTGCATCTAGGCTGTCCAGCCCTGTTAGAATTTTACGCGTTTCAATCAGATCCCCTCTCATTAACAATCCTTGGTTTTTAAAACATTCCTTTCCCACCTTAGTTCACAATCAAAAAATTCAGAATCATGAAAAGATATGGTTTTTACATAAGTTGAATAGTAGTAAATTAATAATCCATTTTTTGATATATGTTAAATGTTCATTTTCTTTGTTCTATGTAGGACATGTTATTGAATGGATTGTAAAACGGTTGTATGCTATGGGAGAATGATCACAAGCATATTGATAATAATTAATGCAATTTAGCATTAAATAATATTAGTTTTTTTTCACAAAACAGCTTAATTCCAAAGCATTATTTATTTCTAACAACAACAAAGCAACCTGAATTTGCATAGTGCCTTTAATACACTAAACCTTCCCAAAATTATTCACAGGAGATTTGGTATAATTGTTTTGTGGATGGGGATCCACAGGAAAATGTGCATTTGTGTGCAAGTACCTTTCTTTTCTTTACTGTTGTGCCTTATGAGGTGCCTCGCTTTCACAGTGTGACAGGACATTGAGAAGAGGGTTCCTCAAGTGACGGAAATGGAAGGGATATGCAGGCAGCGTATGCATGATTCAAATGCTCATTAGGCTGGTGTCAACTGTACAATATAAACATTTCAGCTCTGTGGAGTTGTGCAGAAGTGTAAACATTGTATATTCAGGACATGGACAATACGTATAAGATCGTATGAAGTGGTTGGCTGCCTGTTCTTGGTCACTTTGGATTTTACTTTTACGTCAGCCTCACTGTTGATGGCAAGGTGCTTGAAGAATAAAGTGGAAAATCAATGCACTATTTGGGGATTAAAACCTCTGAGGTTCTGAGTTTGAGTTTATACCAAAGTTCCTGAACCCGCAGGCAAATCTCATGCCTAGTTGTGAACATAATATCTTAGGAAGGTTACAAAAGGGTCACTAGGGAAATATCGAATATAGAAAACTGGTGCAAAATTCAATGGAAATGTAAGCATCAGATGTGGAAGAGAAATGGATTATAGTGTAGGAAACTCAATTTATGACCACGCTGCAAGAAGTTAAGATGGTGAGCCAAGTAACATAGTCAGGAATGGACAAAAACTGCACACATGTGTACAACATGATATGGAGTGTCTGAATTCCAATCAGGCATCAGGAATTAAAGTTTCTGTCCCACAGATGCTGCCAGATCTGTTGAGTTTCTCCTGCACTTTCTGTTTTTAAATGAGGAATGATGTGGAGGTGCCATGTTGGACTGGGGTGGATTAGGTCTGACATCGCACAACACTAGGTCATAGTCCAACAGGTTTATTTGAAATCACAAGCTTTTGGAGTGCTGCTCCTTCATCCTGACCTGCTGGAGGAGCAGTGATCTGAAAGCTTATGATTTCAAATGAACTTGTTGGACTATAACCCAGTGTCGTGTGCCTTCTGAATAAATCAGGAATGATAGTGTATTTGAAATTTAAACAATGGAGACTTCCACAGTGGCAAAATTGATAGTTGTATTGGGTAGTGTTATGCAGTCCACCGAGATCATATTGTCCTAGTTCCTCCTTCGTGCTGAGTTCAATGGGGTGGTCATAAGACGCTAAGATTAGAATCAATGAGGAGATTATCCAGGCAAAATTTCTGCCCCGACTTGCTACCCAAAAAAAAGACCTATTTTAAAATCAGAAAATACTGGAGAATCTCAGCAGATCTAACACGTGTGTGAAGTTATTTCAGATTTCCAGCATTTGAAGTATTTTGCTTCCATTTTAAGGCATCCTGTTTTGAGGCCATAGTCAAGCCTGCAATGCACACATTCAGTCAGCAAATCAATGTAAAAAAAAAGGTATGTAGTAAGAAAAAGCTTGTTAGTTTATCTGGGCTTCTCTTTCTAAAACTGTGTTATTGAATATGGAATTGATGCTGTGTATATGTACTGTAATGGCTGCTACTTTTTTAAAGGTATACGATTTGTCATGTAGTGGGAAAACATATAGGTTAATTCAATATATTGCATTATTACTTTTTAAATCTTGAGTGTTTTTTGTTTCTCTTCCTACCTTTACAATTAATGCAGCTTGTAAGGAACATGTAACCACTCTTACTGATCTATACCTGCTATTACTTGTTGCAATGTAACAGTACCAATATGACTAGCCATCTGAGTTCTTCCTTTTGGCAAATTGTCACTTCCTAATGTTGGCACAGTTCACATTTATTCTGTACTTTGTAGAGTATTGTTGGGTCATGTCCACATCCTGCTACTTGGTGATGCAATACACGGGAGGTCAGGCATAACTCTGCCATGGCAAAATAAGGTCACTTTCAATGCTGGAGCAAGACTTACAGTAGGGAGGAAAGAGGGGGAAAGATTTCCAGTTTCATGTGGTAAACTAAAACTAGAAGTACAAATGAAAGCTGTACATGAGTGATATATTGAATACCGCCATGCTGTACAAAACATTAGCTGGACTTTACACTGCCTCTGCCTGGTTCATTTTCAATTGGTGGGTGTGTAGATGCCCAGCCTACAAACCCATCCTCCCACCACCCCTGAGATCACCTCATGACACAGTTGTATAAAAGCCAACTGACCCTAAAAATATGCTGCCCAATGGCATAGTACAGATGGCATGGAGAGGCAGCCCATTTAAAAAAAAATGTTTAAATGGGCAGGGCACGGGGGAGGGGGTTCCTATCTTTGCATCCGATGCAATCTCCAAACATTGTACCCCTCCTTCCTTTCCACCTGCTCACTGTTTAGAGCTCACCATCCCCCCTTCACTACCCTCCCTTCCCTATCTTGGCCAAACCCTCCCTGTCCAATACCCTACTTAAATACAATTGCCGTTGGGAAGGTGTTGGCGAGCTGCCTTGTTGAATCATTGTAGTCCAATTTGTATAGGTAGACCCATATGCCTTTGGGGAGGGAGTTCCAGGATTTTGACCCAGCAGTGCTGCAGAAACAGTGATATATTTCCATGTCAGGATGGTGAGTGGCTTGGATAGGAACTTGTAGTTGGTGGAGTTCCCATTTATCTGCTGCCTTTGTCCTTCTAGACAGTTATTTTCATGGCTTTGGAAGGTGCTATCTAAGGTGTTTTGATGAATTTCTGAATCTTCTAGATGACACATATTGCTGTACTGAGCATTGGTGGAAGGAGTGAGTATTTGTGGATATGGTGGATATGATCAGCAGACAACTTTGTCATAGATGATGTCAAGCTTCTTGAGTGTTGTTGGAGCTGCACCCATTCCAGGCAAGTGGAGAACATTCCATCACACTCCTATTTGTGGCTTGTAGGTGCTGGTCAGGCTTTGGGGAGAAAAGAGGTGAGTTACTCCCTGTGGGATTCTTGGCCTCTGACCTATTGTTGTAGACACAGTATTTATATGGCTAGTCCAGTTCAGTTCTTGGTCAATGTAATCTTGATAATGGGGGATTAAGTGATGGCGATGCCACTGAAAGTTAAGGGGTAATGATTTGATTCTGTCTTGTTAGATGTAGTCATTGCTTGGCATTTGGGTGTTGTGAATGTTACTTACTACTTTTCAGCCCAAGCCTGGATGTTGACCAGGTCTTACTGCATTTGGACATGGACTGTTTCAGTTTCTAAGGAATTATCCACTCTGTCTCCCACTTCCTGGGATGTGACAATGATCTGGGGTTTTCTGTAAGTATATTGTAAAGCAGTATCCCACCACAATGGTCCAGTCAGCAGAAAAATGAACAAGTGAAATTACCCTGAAATCAATCATGTGGCATTGCTTATCTTGTATTCATTGAGCACTCTATATTGTGCAGATACTACGGTTGAGAATCAATACGAAGCTGGAACTGGATCGTCGTGGTGGACTTCCTGAGTTTTTGCCCCATACCTCACACATCCGAAAGGATGAATCCTGGAGAGTTGAGCCAGTCCCTCGGAGGTTGCAGAACAGGCACATTGATCTTGGTGATGTGTCTCCAGCCAACACTGAACATTTCACCAAAGCCTTATGTTCCAATGCACAGGGCATTCAGGTAAGATCTCTTACTGTTAGTTGTGTTATCATAAAGGATGAGAAAATAGTGCATCAAACTTGTAAGATTGTTGATGAGTGAATTTTAGACAGTTGTTATGGGAAGAGAACATTTTTCCACGTGAATGAACATTGCCCTGTGTTACTTTATAAGACAGAACATGAATGTTTGCCTTCCTCATTCTACTGTTTCAGCTGTGTCGAATCAAAGATCTTGAAATTTAAAACTTAATTCTGCTCAATATGCTTTAAATTAGATGAAAAAGTGTAAAACAGAAAGCTGTTATGGAAGAGGGAATGCAGAAGGGATGTGAGGATCAATCGTAACTTATATTAGTGTAAATTTTTGGCCAAAGAGTCAACAGCTCTAGAGAACTCTACTTCTCAGAATATCCCAGTTTTCTGAATCAAGGAGAAAGCATGCTCATAACCACACAAGGTGTAAAATAGAGAATAGAGTAAAAAACCAGTTAAACTAAGCTAAATGCTTTTCATTTTAATTATTTAACAACAAGAAAATCAGGAAATGTAACTTCCCCTTTGCAATAACTCATGAAGAAACTCCTAATTAAAACTTATAGCACTTGTGAATTACAACAATTCCTCGATGTAGCTTTAATCCTTTTATGCTTCCTTTGATGTAATGTTCTAATGAAAAGTTATTTGGACTTTCGTTTAAGTCTTGAAGTGACTAAGTTTCAATTTCATCAAATCCTTTCCATTCACGAAGTAGTCAGTTCAAGCCCGAACACTCAAACTCAACATCGAGTAAGATGCACCATTTGTCACATGGGCTTCTCGATATTCAGACTGTTTGATATATATTTTGAGCAGTTTTGGCCCTGTTTCTAAGGAAAGATAGGCTGGCATTGGAGGGGGTCCAGAAGAGGTTTACAAGAATGATCCCAGAGAAGAAGGGCTTGTCATTTGTGGAGCAGTTGAGGATTCTGGGTGTGTATTTGATGAAGTTTAGTAGGATAAAGGGGAATCTGATTGAAACTTACTGAATATTGAGAGGCTTGGTTAGAGTGGACATGGAAAGATGTTTCTATTAGTAGGAGAGACTAGGATCCAAGGGCACAGCCTCAGAGTGCAGGGATTACCCTTTGGAACCGAGATCAGGAGGAATTTCTTCAGCCAGAGGGTGGTTAATCTGTGGAACTCATCGCCACAGAGGGTTGTGGAGGCCAAGTAATTGAGTGTGTTTAAATGAGAGAGAGATAGATTCTTGATTAGTATTGGGATCAAAGGTTACAAAGAGAAAACAGGAGAATGGGATTGAGAAACATATCAGCCAGGATTGAATGGTGGAGCAGACTTGATGGGCTGAATGGCCTAATTCTGCTCCTAGATCTTATGGTCTTAAATACTTTATCTAGACAGAAGTTGTTGTGGGCAGTGCTATGTCATGTCTTCATAAAGCTGCTTTGTGAATGCCATTTGTATAAGGAAAAGTTGGAAAGGTTCCTTTGTTAAACTTTCAATCTAACAGCATTTAAAATTATGGACCCATGGGCTGAGTGATAATCCTGGAGTCATACCAATAAGTTACTGTGTAAAATAGTATAAGAAAATGCTGAAAATACTCAGGTCAAATATCGTCCACTGAGAGAGAAACTGAGTTAATATTTTCGGTCAATGCTTTTTCCTCAGAACTCTGGCTCATGGCGAGTTTGTAAATCTGTATGGTAGTTCATAGACCATTAGTAGGGACACCCCCCAGCACCCACAGAGAAGCATGTAGAAGGAGAGGTTTAAGGGAGTGAATTCCAGAGCTAGGAATGCATGCAGTGAAAGCCCATAAGCTTGTATTCCAGCTGTGGCTCACAGCAGGAAAACATTAAAGGCACACGATCAAACCTCAAGATATACTCTGGAAACTTAATACCTTTTTCCCAGGAAGAGGGAGGTGGAGTGTAAGCACAGGCATGTTGTGTTATAGAAACTTACCCTTGAGCGGCTGAGAACCGGAGTGGAGCGGGGTTGGTTGTTGGACTGGGTTCTGGTGCGGGTGGTCAATGGCTTATGAGGCTGGTCAGACCACATGTGGAAACCCCTGCACTGAGCTACTGCAATGTAATGTTTATCTGTAGTTTGTTTATCTGACTGTAATGTTTATCCTTTAACTATGTCTTATTTCTAACTTATACAATGAATCACTGTAAGGTAATGCAACTTTTCTTTTTATTCCTCTTTTTGTATCTAAGATTTGTACCAAGGTACTGTGTACCTAAGATGGTGCAATGACAGCTGACATTGTAAACTTTTTACTGCACTCCTGTGCTTCTATACTTGAGTACACATAACAATAAAGGATATTCTATTCTATATACACACAATTTTTATGTTAAGATTTAAGTTGGATTGTGGTGAGAATTGCCTAAGTAAACCTAGTTATCTTCATTCTTTACTGTTGATTAAAAGCTGTAGAAATGGTTATTCTATTTTGATTTGTGTTTACAGACAGATTTTGATGATGGTCACTGTCCAACCTACTTTAATCAAATCCAAGGTCTTTTCAATGTGTACAAGGCAGTTCACAATCAGATTGCAGGTAAGAATCCTTTTCCGATTCTGGGTGTTTTGCGTGTCTATTTTCTCTCTCAGTGGCCTGATAACAGCTTTATTAAACAAATGGAACTCTTACAGACCTTAAATCTTCTTGTTCGTGCTTTTGAAGTGTGTTGGATATGTGATTGGAGGTGGGGGGGTGGGTGGTGGTGTTATTTGCCCCATTCATGAAGTGTTTTTAGATGAAGTGGAGTTTGTGTTACACAGCCATACTCATTTAGAATAGATAAAATAAATGGAGACTTGATGGCTGAAACAGTTGAGCAGATTTATTTCCAAAATGCAAGAACATAAGGACATAAGGCATAGTTATCACTGGCTCCCTTCTAGCATTGAAAACAGTGCCTTATAACCTTAAACTCTTCCACTCATTGAACAATTCCACAAGGGATATGTATCTGTCAGATGTTCATGAACGTGTGTCAGAATTAGCTCCATAGCTTGCTTTTAAGACCATAAGATAGATATAGGAGCAGAATTGGGCCATTTGACCCATCGACTCTAAAGGAAAACAAAATGTTTTGCCAAACAAAAGTTCTGATAGAGTAATACTTTGTAGCTTTAGGATGTGCTGTGGACATTTTCTATTTACCGAAAGTATTAAACAATAGTAAAATATGCCCACACAGTTCATAATGATTAACTGAATGCTAGGATCTGTTTTTCAATATTGATTTATTGACTGCAAAGTGTTGGATTAGGTATTTTAAATCCACATTCATAGAATCCTTACAGTGTGGAAACAGGCCCTTTGACCCAACAAGTCCACACCAATCCTCACAGCATCCAATCCAGACCCATCCCCCTATAACCCACCTAATCTACACATCCCTGAACACTACGGGCAACTTAGCCTGGCCAATCCACCTAGCCTGCACATCTTTGGACAGTGGGAGGAAACCGGTGCACCCGGAGGAAACCCACGCAGACACGGGGAGAATGTGCAAACTCCACACAGACAATCACCTGAGGGTGGAATCAAACCTGGGTCCCTGGCGCTGTGAGGCAGCAGTGCTAACCACTGAGCCACTGTGTGGCCCCAAAACATTAGCTGGATCTCTGGATCAGTCATCTAGTGATAATGCCACTACACCATCACCTCCCATTCCTGAGGACAAAGATGGTAATCCCTTTGAAATAAAATGACCCATACACCTGTTTCAAAGATTACAGTTGTTTTATTAATTTTATATTGCAAAATGTGATTATCTCAGTTTTTAACATTTAATTGTGACTTATGTGCCAAGTCCAACCTGTTACTGAACTGGTCATTTTCATTGGTTGTCATTAATATTTTACACGTGCATAATTTCTTTCAGTGAAGTTTTATCGTCTTCATATTTATGAATAAACTTTGACAAGTTCAGTTTTAGATGTAATGAGATATTTGAAATTAATATTTGGCCTTGATAGTTAAAATATACAAGACAGCTTTATTTCAAATATTAGAGTGTGATTCCTACTGGGCATGAGTATTGTGACTGCAAAGGCTGAACTGGGTTGTTTGTCTTGCTGGAGAATGGGACGCTGGGTATTATATCATGGGGCTCAGAATATACTCAGAGACTGATTCCTGCCTGCAGCTGACAGAAGTGGCATTACTGTCACTAGGCTGCCTGGTACACACACAGATTTGGTTGTTGGCAAGGAAATGAACTGTTGGAGTTGTGGTGGTTTTTGAGGAAGTGGGGTATGGAGGAAGAAAGGGGATCGGAGTTGGGGATTAGTATTGGATAGGAAGTCTGTGCCTGAAACAGGCAACTTAAAATGTTGGGAGTGGGAAAGTGGCAGGACCCTTCCCCTCTCAGCATATGCACACTGGTTGGAATCAATACCAGCCTTTAAGGATTTATTAATTGGCAGAGATTTTTGATAAGTCTTAATAAAATAGAAAATATAATCAAAGGTCTTACAATTTTAGTGAAGAGAATTTCAGAAACAGGGTTAACATTTTACAATGGAGTACAAGTAAGAAATGTAGTAATTTCTGAGCAATAGTTGTGAGTTTTATCACATCATTCATTTGGAAAAATTGTTGGGATTCAATGTCCTTCTGTTGATGAAAAATGTGATCATTTCCAAGTGTGAATTCCAGAAAGACAGAATTTAACGATTGTGGCATGGTGATAACAGTTCAATTATATGTTTAGATGTACCACCTATTTCAAAGGCACCCATTCTAATGCTGAGGCCTAGAGCGTGGAACATGGTTGAACACAACATGCTGGTATGCCATCTTCAATTTGTTGCTTGGCATGTAATCATTTTGAGACCGTCTGTTATTGTTTGTGGCTGTTCTATATTTACATGTGAATTATGCATTGATTACAATCCACAGGTCAACGGAAAGGAGGTGCCTGGCCCACTGTTTGACTTTGGATTATTGATGTACCACAATGGGCAAATTTTATTCGAAAATGAATGTGGTCCTTTCTTTTATCTGTCAAAGGTATCCTGCTATTTTTGCTGTTAACGTTCATTCTTCTGTCGTAATTCTTTTTATTGTTGTTGTCTGCTGACCTTGCCCCCTTAATAGTAGCAGTAAGTCATATCTGACCACCAAGCTACTTGCATTGCGATACACATGATGTAATGTTGTTGTCTTTTTGATAAAGAAATGTTGCCTTACTCAAATATTCAGCATATTTAGATTATACTTTGCCAAGAGTAATGACAAATAGATGATGTTGTTTAAAGTGGATAGATATCAGCTAATGCTGTTGAAGTTACAAGATGCCAAGCAAGAAAGAGGTAACTTATAGTGTGCTCCTGCTGGCATCATTAAGATCAGATACTAGCACAGGATTGAAACTTGAATCTTCTTAACATGTATGGCCCATATTGGGTGGTGGCACAATGAACTATCTGGGGTGCTTTCAAGTTTATTTTCATGAAACACAAAGGTATTTGTCACATGTGATAGACAGTGTTAGTGTTAGCTTCTGATTCTTAATATAGGAGATAAATGTCACAAATGTTCTCAGTTACAGATTGAGGATGAGCCCATTTAAAAACAAAGAATCTGCACCAAGATAGCCACTTGTTGCTTGGATCATATACTTCTCAGATATACAAAGCTGTTAAATGGAGGCTCTGTCTGGTGTTCAGACAGATGTCACAAAACGCTAGCATGCTTCAAGAACAGGTTGCTCTTCCAGGGTCTTGGTCAATATTTATCTCTCGACTAACATTATAAATACAGATTACCTAGTCATAACTGTTTGTGGGATCTTCTTCATTCCAATTAGTTGCCATGTTTCTTAATATTATAGTAGTTCAAAATTTGTTCTTCAGCTATGAAAGTGCTACCTGGGTTCATGAAAGGCACCAAACCATTACTAAATCTTTCTTTCTGTTTCAATGCTGGAACTGAAAAACTCTGGGCCAGATTTGACTGAAAAACTAATTGTGCCTAAATGATAAAAACTTTCACTAATGTGCAAGTCTGCGAGGAACTCATTACAAGAAAGAGTTACCATATCAGTTGAGAATCACTACATGTTTCTGGTTGAATTGTGCTACTCTGTGCTGTCAGCTTCATGAAAGTGGCACCCCACATTTAACCTATCTGCGATTTTCATGAAGTTGCGATGTTAGCCCATTAACTGAAGATGTTATGTCTTGAAATTAACAGAACGATGACTCATTTAACAACATGATGATTGTTAAAGAGTGCGATCAACTTCTGTGGTCAAAAATGTGTGAGTGGCCACGTTGGACATTAACAGATCTATGACAGTGGGCAGTGAAGAGGTTATAGCTGCTGATTGTCTGCCCTTCCTTCTGCAGCTACGTTCATGCCTGGATTTCCTTGGAGAGGCAGCATGTGGTGTCCACCAATATTCTCGATGTCTTTCGAGAAAGGTTGGCACTGCAGGGGTTGGAGTGCTTAACCTCCCCTTCCAACTCCATTTTGATTTAGCCCCCTCCCTCCCTCCCTCCCAACCTCTTCCTCACCTTTTATGGTCTACATTGCTTTTAACAAGCTTTGCATATAAATGAATCAATAGGAAAGCATGAGTGATTTACTGGTTTTACAGGTGGTGATTAATAAATGAAAAATACCATGGCCCATTGTCACATCTTTAAGTAGATGCTGTTTCAGTTTCAGTAATGGGAAGGCAATGGCCTAGTGGTATTAACACTAGACTATTAATCCAGAAATTCGCATAATGTACTGGAGACCCAAGTTCAAATCCCACCCGATTTGAATTCAACACAAAATATCTGGAATTAAGAATCTAGTGATGACCGTTGTCAATTGTTGGAAAAACTGATCTTGTTCACTCATGTCCTTAAGGGAAACAACTCTGCCATTCCTACCTGGTCTGGCTTACACGTGACTCCAGACCCACAGCAATGTGGTTGACTGTCAACTGCCCTCTGAATTGACCTAGCAAGCTTCTCAGTTGTATCAATCACTACACAATCTCAACAAAGAAATGAAACCAGATGGACCACCATTGACCCAGGTACTGGCAAAAATGGCCCTGTCCACCCTGCAAAATTCTCCTTTCTAAAATCTCATGCCAATATTGGGAAAACTGTCTCACAGACTAGTCGAGCAACAGCCTGACATAGTCATACTCATGGAATCATACCTTACAGACAATGTCCCAGACACCACCATCACCATCCCTGGATATGTCCTGTTCTGCTGGCGGTACAGACCCAGCAGAGGTGATGGCCATATAGGAGTTGTCCTGTGGGTCCTCAACATTGATTTTGGACCCCATGAAGTCTCATGACTTCAGGTTAAACATGGACAAGGAAACCTTCTACTGATTACTAAGCATCATCCTCCTTCAGCTGATGAATCAATACTCCTCCATGTTGACAACACTTCAAGGTTGCACTGAGGGTAGCAAGGGCACAGAATGTACTCTGGGTGGTGGATTTCAATGTCCACTCACACCACCACTGACGCTCATTAGCAGCACTGTGTACTATCTACAAGATGCACAGCAGAAATTCACCAAAGATCCTCAGACTTTCAACCACATGACCATTTCCATCTAGAAGGACAAGGCCAGCAGATACGTGGGAACACCACCACCTCCAAGTTCCCCTCCAAGTCACTCACCATCCTAACGTGGAAATATATCGCTGTTCCTTCACTGTCACTGGGTCAAAATACTGGAATTCCCTCCCTAATGGTATTGTAGGTCAACCCAAAGCATGTAGACTGCAGCGGTTCAAGAAGACAGCTCACCACCACCTTCTCAAGGGCAAGTAGTGATGGGCAATGAATGCTAACCAGCCAGCAATGCCCACATCCCACAAACAAGTAAAAAAAACAGAGTGGCTCAGCAGCAGTACTACTGATCAAGCTGGGTGGGTCCTAAAGGACATAACTGCTGGACTGGGTCTGCGGCAGGTGGTGAGGGAGCCAACAAGAGGGAAAAACATACTTGACCTCATCCTTACCAATCTGCCAGCTGCAGATGCATCTGTCCATGACAGTATCAGTAAGAGCGACCACTGCACAGTCATTGTGGGGACAAAGTCCTGCCTTCACTTTGAGAATGCTGTCTATTGTATTGTATGTCACTGTTCCTGTGCTAAATGGGACAGGCTTTGAACAGGTCTAGCAACTCAAGGCTGAGCATCCATAAGGCACTATGGGCCATCAGCAGCAGAATTGTATTCCAGCACAATCTGCGATCCTATGGCCAGGCATATCTCCCACTCAACCATTACCATCAAGCCAGGGGATCTGGTTCAGTGGAGAGTGGAAGAGGGCATGCCAGGAGCAGCACCAGGCATACCAACAAATTAGATATCAGTCTGGTGAAGCTACCAAACAGGATTACTTGCATGCCAAACAGCATAAGCAAGTGATAGACCGAGTTGAATGATCCCAAAACTAATGGATCAGATGGAAGCTCTGCAGTCCTGCCATGTCCAGTCGGGAATGGTGATGGACAATTAAACAACTCAGTGGAGGAGGTGGCTCTACAAATATCCCCATCCTCAATGATTGAAGAGCCTAACATACCAGTGCAAAAGATAAGGCTGAAGCATTTGCAGCAGTCTTCAGCCAGAAGTGCCAAGTGGATGATCCATCTCAGACTCCTCCAGTGATCCCAAGCATCACCGATACCAGTCTTCAGCCAATCTGATCACGCCATGTAATATGAAGAAATGGTTGGAAGCACTGGATACTGCAAAGGTTATGGGCCCTGACAACATTCTGGCAATAGTACTCAAGATTTGTGTTCCAGAACATACTGACCTTCCTAACCATGCTGTTCTAGAATAATTACGATGGCATCTACCCTAACAATGTGGGAAAATTGCCCGGGTATATCCTGTACATGAAAAGCAGGACAAATCCAACCTGGCCAGTTACTGTCCCATCAGTCTACTCTCGATCATTAGTGAAGTGATGGAAGTTGTCATCAATAGTGCTGGGCCAATTTCCCAGCAAATTAAGATGGAAATTCTAACCAGCCTGCTTTGTCATCAACATGTGTCTAATGCTGCTTGGGAGTCATGAAAACTGAACCTTTCCTTCCTTTAATCTTCCGGATATGAAAATGTTGCAGGGATGGGCAGACGTGACAGGCCTACGTTTCCAAAGTCAGAGTGAATCTGACCCATGTTTCCTGAGCCCAACCCAAAAACTCTAGCTCAATAAGTCTTTCTTTGTTGCCAAATACGTGAAATCACAAAATTTAACTTTTTGGTTGTAAAGACCATTTGAAGGGCGTGTGGATTGGGGATAGGGGGCTGCACTTTTTGCATCTTGATTTTCTGAGCTGCACTTCCAGTGAGCATCAGTATGAGCTCTTTAATGTTTCAACTAACGATAAAAAGTGTAAATTAAGTGTTCTCAAATTTACCAATATATTTACAGGGTTTTGTCATATTGCAGGTTGAAAGCCATTTGGAGGCCAAATTGTGGAACAATATATTTGTTTGGGTTCAAAAGAAGGTAAGTTTGTATGAGGACAAGTGATAAATAGCATTCCTCTTCCAGTTACAACACAGTGTGGAGCTGGAGGAACACAGCAGGCCAGGTAGCTTCAGAGGAGCAGGAAAGTTGACATTTCCGGTTGGGACCATTTTCTGAAGAAGGGTCCTGACCCAAAATGTCAATTTTCCTGCTCCTCTGATGTTGCCTGGTCTGCTGTGTTCCTCCAGCTCCACATTGTGTTATCTCAGACTCCAGCATCTGCAGTTCTTGCTATCGCTTCCTCATCCAGTTAGCTTCCTAATGCATGGTTGCTAGTTGGCCACAGTACGCTATGCTCCACAGGGATAGAGGGCGGAGGTGGGTGCATCCGACACATCCAGGTCTGTCTCCAGTACCCCGTGCAAATAAAAAACATAAAATTCACCGCATGGTTTAGAATTCCAGAGAGGATTCGGGATACATAAAGTGTGTACACTCAGCTCACACAGTAGCTAACAATTCACAACTTGGTTACCTCAAGGGCACCTTGCTCCTGTCAGGGCACAGAAACCCTGATGGAGGTCATAGAGGAGGCCAGCAGCCGCAGGACCATCTGAAGGACCTCATTGCAGACCCTTAAAAAGCTGATTAACCTTTTACATCTGCTAGGGAGAGTGTGTGACCATTTCACAGGTGGACCCATATGGAAAGACATGACAGTCCTGTGTGTGGGACTGCCTAATGCCTTGCCAAGTGCTTTGCACACAGCACTGGTTTATGAGGGCTGTGGGGAGAGGGGTGGGTGGTTTCTCAAGTGTAAGGGTTGTTTGTTAACAATGATTGTTAAGAAATATTGTTCACTAACTATGGAAATGTTGGGCCCACAAATTAAGATATGATATTTCTGCACAAGTTTCTGTACAATGTCCCTTCTTCTCTGCAGGAGAGGTCAGGGGTGAGAGGAGGAGCACCTGGCCTTGTAGTTTTCAACGGTTGTCGGAGGAGGAGGAGGAAGTGGAAGGGAAGGAGGGAGTGGTGAAGGGGGAGTTGGTGCCAAAAGTTACAGAATTGGCTGTGGTGAGGCCCCTGGAGTACTGAGAGTCTGTAGCTCTCTGTCCAGCAAGAAAGCAAAATGCAGAAGTAGTGTTGGAGACAGGCGAGGAGAGGGAGATCCTGGGGGGCAACTGGGGAAGAGAGCAAGATGGCTAAGACTTTGGAAGCTTGCAGTATTTGGAGAGAAATATTTGCATCAATTTGAAAGGGGCTGTGATTTCAGTGTGTGTGTGTGCACGCGCGCCTGTGTTTGTATATATGTATGTCATGTGCATCAATGTGCTACGTGTCGGCCTGTATGGTTTGTGTGTGTGTGTGTGCCTTCTTGTGGGTTTGTGTGCCTGTAGGTCTGTGTGTTTGTATGTGTGTCTGTGTCTGTGTGTGTGTGTGTCTGCCTGTGGGTATGTGTGTGCATGCCTGCCTGTGGGTTTGTGCACCTGTAGGTCTGTATGTGTGTGCGCACATGTGCCTGTAGGTCCGCCTCTAGGTCACGTGTGCGCACGTGTCTGCTTGTAGGGTTGTGTGTTTGTGTGTATCGGTAGGTCTGTGTGTGTGTGTGCGCGCGCCTGTGCCCGTAGGTCTGTGGGTCTGTGTGTGTCTGCCTGTGTGTGTGTGTGTGTGTGTGTGTGTGTGTGTGTGTGTCTTTCTGTGGGTCTGTGTGTTTGTATGTGTGTACCTGTAGGTTTATGTATGTGTTTCAGGTGAAAACCATGTAGCTCCAGCCACCAGGCCTGATGGTGGAAAGTTAAACTCTGGAGAGGAGGAGGCATCAGAAAGTATGCCATCACAGCCTCGCCCAGCACCCAGCACTAGCAGTGGGCATGAGACTGGACTGCAAGAGAGCCACATGCTGAAGTGAGCACATCGTATTTGTAAGACCAACTGTCAGAGGATGACACTGTGCAGGCTTCTGGTTCTCATAGGCATGCTGGAGGTGACCTGGAGAGAAAGCCCCTGTCTGATGACTCTGGCTCTATCAGTTTAGCTGGCATTGTCTGCACTAACTGATACAAATTCCTGCGCAGGCCTGAAAATTGCATCTGCAACAAATTTGATACAGTGATGGACTAGTGAGTCCAAAATTCTGCAAAGTCCTTCACTGATGCCTGGATGGACCCAGGTACAAGCAATTTCAAGACAACCGTAACCTCTAAAGCCACAGGCAAAGAGTGTCATCCAACACAATTCACAGCTACTTTTCCAGCCAACATATAGTGTATGGATCTGGAAGTCTGAAAGGGTTAATACTTGATTGAGTGCAATAAGTCCCACCCATGATGAAGATGTCATGGTGACTTTGTAGAGAGCAAAGTAGGTTCTCATGGGAGATGAACATAAGGCAAGGTCATCCCAATAGTCTTTGCGGTGATGTGGAGCCTGTTATTACAATCTGTCAATGTAATAAACTGCATCCTGCTTACTCTCCAAGATTCTTCTTATTAGACCTGAGGTGGCCTCCCCGTTACGTGCAATAGGCCATGTAAACCTCCCAGAAGGTACAGATGGGAACACAAACCCCTCAAAGTAAAATTATGCTTGTGGATGTCAATGCAAAATGCAGAGTTTGAGTTCCAGCCTCTGCTCACAATCTCTGACTCAGCAGTGGGAATACTATTACAGTTCCCCTGGAATGTCTCACCCTCTGTATTTTGGCCACATCAATAGTGTTCCCTCTCTTTATCTTATGTGTCTGTTAGTCACATACTTCACTCTCTTTAGTTTGGTATCTGATGGTTGGTCAAAATTTGTAAAATATTATGCAGAGGAATCCTGGGTGTCATTGTGGATAAAACTGTCCTTTTGTCTTTTAAACAAACATTGGCTAAAGGATAGGATAAGTATGAACATCCATTTTCATCCTGAATCTGTAATCATCCTCAAAATTCAGTCTGCAAAGCTAAAAACAGTGCCTGAAACAGAAATACTAATAAGCACAGTACTTCTTTGTTTCCAGTTGGGTTTGCCAATTGGATCTATCAAAGCCACTGTCTTAATAGAAAGTATCTTGGCTACGTTTGAGATGGAGGAGATTCTTTATGAGCTGCGAGCCCATTCTGCTGGGTTGAACTGTGGCATCTGGGATTACTCAGCCTCTTTCGTGAACAAATTTGGTGAGCAGGAACATCTCAATTTGTTTTTAAGATTTGGAAGAATTGTTACTTGTCTGGTTGTAAATTATTCAGACTTATAGTTTCTGGTGGTTACACTCTATAAGGGAAATCAAAACAAGTTGATCATCTCCCCTCCATCTCATAAAATCAAAAGCATGGGTCAGAAGTAGACACTTTTAAATCCAATGTGGAATCCAGGGGAAAGGTCTTCACCAGAGAGTGGTTAGAATGTGAAACCCCTGAGCACATAGAGAATGTGAGGAAATTGGATCATGCCTTTAAGAGGGAGCTAAGTAAGTCCTGAATGAGAATAAGATGGAAGTATTTGCTGATTGGGTGGGATGAAAACAGATGGGAGAATGCTCATGCAGAACATAAATGCAGGCTTAGATCAGTTGAGTGAAATGACATGTTTCTATAACAAAGCTGCAGGTCAGTGACTGAGATAACAAGGTGTAGAGTTGGATGAACACAGCAGGCCAAGCAGCATCAGTGGAGCAGGAAGGCTGACGTTTCGGGCCTAGACCCTTCTTCAGTGACTGAGTTGAGGAAGTCAGCCATTGTGAAAGTTATTTCTGAGGCTTTGCTGCTGAGTTACCCTCAGAATTCATCAGCATTGCTCAAAGCTGAAAACAAAAAATGCTGGAGACCGCAGCGGGTCAGGCAGCATCCAGGGAGAGAGCTAACGTTTTGCCTCCAGATGATGCTTCAGCAGAGCTGATGTGAAGTGTGGAGGGGGCAGCATTTATGCAGTGGCGGAGGTGGGGTGGGATCGGAATGTTGGATGAGAAAGGGTGTCGATAGTGCAGATAAAGTGATCAGAATGTGAGAATGGCAGAACAATGGTGTGCCAGACTGGAAAGAACAGACAGTCCCACTGCGGGGGGAGAGGAGAGAGGACATGGTGTCAGAGAACGTAACAAGTAAAGATAAAAGAAAGAGAAGGAATTGGAGTGGGTTCACGATCTGAAGATGTTGAACTAAATGCAGCATGCCGAGGACAGACAAATGGGTATGCTCATTGCTCCTCAGCAATTACATTGTGTTTGCTTTTAGAGGAAATGGTGGTGCAGTGGTTCCGTTCACATGATCTCCTGGTGGAACACTTCAAAGTACAACACCTGCTTATGGTTTAGTTGATAATCGTTTGCAAATGACCTATTGCATTTGTTACTGTACTTACCGACAGGCTGTGTCACAGAGTAAACAACTGTGGACAACCTTTTGCTGTTTTCTCCCCACATGATAAGCTCCTGACTTCAGGGAGGTGCTAAATGATTCGATTTTTAACAACATGAAGCTTTAATAAGACAGTCTATCTGTGCGATATAGGTGTACATGTCAGACATTTCGCAAATGTCATTTTTCAGGATGTCGTCAAGAGTTCCTCTTACCAGATCGCAGTAAATATGTGAATATGGAGAAACAGTTTTTGAAGAGTTACATGGATCTTCTGGTAAAGACTTGTCATAAGCGAGGTGCTTTGGCAACTGGAGGAATGGCAGCACTGTTACTGCCCCAAGACAAGGGGAGCTTGGCCTACCAGAGAGTAACAGCAATTGTCACACGGTATGTACAGCATTCACAATGATTACACTTCAGTGGGAATTCACATCTGAAACAAACCCTATATACGTGCTGCACACCTTTAACTTTTGAAACGGTTCTAACTAAATTCATCTCACTGAAATAGTTAACTTCTAGAACTAAAACTCAAAGGATAAATGTATTACTAAAATCCAAAACCAGAAAGGTCCCAGGTTCAATCATGAGAGAGAATTAGATAGAAACTTGGTCATTTATTGTCTTTCTAGTCTATAACCACTGAGGCTAGGCATAGAGCCCCGTTCCAATTGTTACCCATTCCACCATAGAGACCAATAACTAACGTTTAAAAGAAAGTCACCAGAAATCCAGTGGAAAGAAAGCCAATTGACAGGAATTAATTTTAAGAAATTTTACTGTAACCAACCATGTAAGACCAATATAATTCAAACATTAATTAATAGTCGGAGGATATTTCAAATAGAGATGCATTTCACTTTAAATGGTTAACACAGATATGCGTAATGTAGAGATAAGCTCTGGCCATACTTTCCACAAAAAAATGTGGAACCACATTCAATATCACAGTCTATTCAAAATGGCCTTGACTTTTTAGGATATCTCACTTCCCAAACAAACATTTTGGCACTTAAATTGAATTCACCAGCATCTGTATTGCATCCAAGGTCCCTGAAAGCAATAATCAACAACAAGGCTTACATCTACAAATTGTTTCTCGCTTAAGTAATGACAGTCCTGATGGCACAGATTCCAAAGAGACCCCTTTAAATGGAATGCCAGGCTCTGTCAACACTGAAACAGTACAAATGTATCTTGTCCAATTACCAACATTTTGCCCTGTCTTCAGCTCTCAGTTCTTTCTGACAGTATAACGTGCAGTAACGCAGTCTTTGCTCTACTCACAGAGCGATTCTTTACCTTCATCACTAGGTTTTATTCAAAGACTGGCCACACTGTTCCATTTGGTGAGAACATTTCTTATTTTGTCTTTGCATGAATTCTCAGTGTGTTTTGAATCACCAGAAAGCATAGGCTGATCAAACCTCATTTCAATTCACCTTTTATTTACCTTTATGCTTCTTAACTGTTCATCCCCCATGTTAAACTGATTCATAGCATTTCTTAGATTCTAATTACGTTATTATCAGAAAACTAAGTAACCTTTTTTTCAGAATAATGTCCAGCCCACTTTGGCCTTAAAGGGACATCACACAAAAGTGAATACAGGATTTTTCCAGTACATGGGTCATCACACAGTCAAAATCATGCATGAACATCCAGAATCTTATGTTGAAAAAATGATTCAAGACTGGATATTTACCATTGATGTTCCGCATAAAAGGGATTACTGCATAACAACTATGAAAAACCATCCTGTCTGGTGCGAAAATGCTCACTTAGTAGAAATTGTATATCCCTCTCGTTCCTCCAAAATGCTTTATTTTTGATAACTGAGCCATGATTGATTATGGTGAATGAGGAACTATTTCATATATATAAATCATTGATAAGAAGGAGTCCAACAAATGTTTGCCAATCTAACCTCTGGAATGATGGAACTGTATCGCAAAGAGAGATTGAGAAAACTGGGCCTGTGTTCACTAGAGTTTTGAAGGATGAGAGGTGGCCTGATTGAAACTTATAAAATTCTTACAAGGTGTGACAGGATGGATAGCATTAGGCTGATGACTCTAGATGACCGTAATCTCAGGGTAAGGAGCACATTAATCAAGTCTGAAATGAGGAGGAATTTCTTCAGTGAACGTGTAGTGAATCTTAGGAACTTTCTCCCCCCTGGAGGACTGTGGAAGCTCAATCATTGAACATGCCGAAGACCAAGATCAATAATTTTCTGCAGACTAATGACATCAAGGAATGTGAGGTACCCTGGGAAATTGTTGTTGAAGTAGGTGATTAGCTATGAACTAATTGAACGGCAGACCAGGCATAATGGGCTGAATAGCCTTCATCTATTCCTGTGTTCCTACTTATATAATGCCTTTCATAGCTGGTGGCTGCTTGATCTGGCTCCACATGCCTTGTTCATCTGGTTTTTCTTGGTTCCTACCTTTTATTCACTCGATAAAATACAGAATCTAACAGTGTTATCTTAATGCTTTAGCTTGAAGCTGCTTGAAATAAATGCTGGAGTTGACGGATTCATGGTGTATGATATGGACCTGATTGAGCCAATGACAAAGGTAATTTAACATGTATTCTGTGCGTTTTGCAGGATTTAAGTTCTGACTAAAATACCTGTATGGGCACAGTCTCAATTCAGTTGTTGCACTTGGTAGAACTGCTGTTGCAAAGATCAATTAATGCCACACATGTTAATTAACAGAGAAACTAAAATGTCAGTGTGGCTAGGTCGTTACCCTTTGGTTTTTGAGTCAGTATGTTGTGGGATTTACATCCCCAATCTAGGAGCTGAGCATATGATTGCAATCTTTGATGCTGTGTTTCAGATGAAATGTTATACTGTAACCCCGCTTCACAGGCAGATCTCAGAGATCCAATTGATATTGAAGTGGTCCTAACTATCATCTCTCACTCCTAAATATCATTGATTTATTTGCTGTGGGACATTGGGATTGGTTGTTGCACGCACCTATTCAAAAACAATGATGTTCATGCCAAATGCAAATAATTTGATTGTGAAATATTTTGATACATCTCACCAATACAACAAAATGCTACAAATAAAAATTCTTCCTTTAGAAGTGTTTGAAAGTTTCAACAAGCATTAACATAACCTACAGAATCAAATTGTTGATCGGTGACGAGCCAGTCATTCTCACAAATGGAACATGGGGAGGTGGCTGTTTCACTTGACTTCACATGCCCATGAAAGTCAATGCTGTAAGAGTCAAAGTGAACCTAGTTAGACAAACAAAAGGAAGCTGCAAACATTGAATCCTTATTAAACCTTGTTTCCACTCATCCTTAAACAAATCATATGTGACCCTAAGGAGAGAGACTATGCATTTCATTTTGGGCAAATTTTAAATTTTATTAATGGATTTTGCAATGTATTTTGCAGTGGTGATAGGTTTTCCACACATCATAGGGTGTGGGAGGGTAGGCTCTGGGTGGATGCTTTTTGGAGGATTGGTGCAGACTCAATGGGCAGAATGGCCTCTATTCTGCACTGTAGGGTTTCTATGATTGATTCTATGATAATTGGAAATTCTACCAAAGTTCAGATTTGGACTAAGATAACAAGGTGTAGAGCTGGATGAACACAGCAGGTCAAGCAGCATCAGAGGAGCTAGCTAGCATTCCTGCTCCTCTGATGCTGCTTGGCCTGCCGTGTTCATCCAGCTCTGCACCTTGTCATCTCAGATTCTCCAGCATCTGCAGTTCCTACTACTTCAGATTTGGACAGTCTCCTCTTTTTGCTGGCTGTGGGAAATAAATAATATCAATCAAGCTGCTTGTGGGTATTGACCAATACTGCAAGAAATGAATCATTGGCCTCGATGGGAGGCTGAAAGGTTCACTGTAGAGCAGATCTGTTCAGGGATGAGCTACATATGAATCCTGCAACTTGGAAATCTAGTTCTCAAAGCCAAGGTAGTGCAGTGAATGTTTTGTGCTTTTGTCAATTACTGGTTTTCTGCCTTTTGGAAAAATGCCATATTTCAGATAGATTTCACAAATTCAGTTCACATTCCTGCCTTATTCAATCCCAGCTTTTCTTGGAACACACAAAGGGACACAATCAGCTGCATATCCTAAGAAAAGATGTGGATGTGACAGCTGGTGATCTGCTCACCATGCCTTCTGTAAGTATGTTAAACTCACGGTGATACTGATAAAGAAATTGCAAGAACCTGTTTACTCAAGATACACTATTTCAACTTAATTGCATAAAGCAGAGTGCAGGTTCTGGAGATCTTTATACTGAAAGAATTAATAATGTTTTCTCTGTAGTTAAAGTAAATGTAGAATTGATGCAAGTAGAAAAAAGTAACTAACTTAGGTAAACCAAATTGTAATATCTTGCACTATATTAAAGACAATCCAGATATCTGCTATTAAACCAATAATTTTTAACTGTGTATTATTTAAACTTTGCTTTTTAGAAGTTTCTAAGAAAGTATAAAAGCAAAATATTAAACTCAACTGATAATTATTTTAAAATAAAAAAGGAAAATGATCTTGGATGATCAAAATGTAATTGTCCACATGGTTACCATCATCCAAAGGTCTTTGTGAGGAAGTTGGGCAGCATGTGAGGATAACTCTCTGCTTTTCAATGAAGAATGCCCTGGAATGTTTAACATGTCCATGAATACAGTGGTTTTTGTCAAGGTTCATCCCAAACAGCTCCGTGATGCAGGACCTTGTGCACAATGGTGTGTTCACTGGGTGCACACCGAGACAAACATCGACTGCACCTGGAAGACCATCAGTTCAGTGAAAGATGCTCTTTGGTCTACCCAAAACTTGCTGGATTTCCAGAACAAGGAGTTGACCTCAACTGAGTGTTGCAGACTGGCACATTCCAAGGCCCAGGACTATGTGCTGAGGGATGCACTAAAGCTTGGGGCAGCTGCGGCCATGGCCCAGAGGGCAAAGACATTGTCTGAGGTCTTCCTGCTGAAATTAAATGGGGGTCAGTTCAGTTATTGGGCCCTACCAGTGCCTCAAATGCATGTAAATATAGTCTGGTTCAAGTGGGAAATGCGTATAGTTTGTTTGGATAGAGTCAAACTCCAATATTTGTTGGTTTTCTTCATATGCTACTGCACAGAACCAAACTGTTTATGACTATGGATATGGATTTTTTTTATAAATAAAGTATATTTTGAAATTTAGAAAAATGTCCTTGAGCTATGGAACAGACAGCTGGTATGTCAATTAACACCCCACCTGAATAATGGAGCAGTATTTCATAGCAATGGGTGTGTCACTACACCATACAAATTTATGGTCTGGGGTGTGGATTGAAACTTCAGTGTTGTAACTTTGAGGTAAGTGTGCAACCACTGAGTCAAACAGGCACTGAGTCTGTGCATTCTGAACCCTGTTTCCAATGGCCACCAAAATAATACCTATTGTTAGTTGCACTTTTGGCATCATTGTCAGTTAGATCACAGACTCGCCTGATGTTTGAGGTAGAAATGGCACATTGCTGCAGTGAAGAGTGTGCGTCTGAGTTTTGGGTTAAAATGGACTTTGTGCTCAATAGAACAAAATTCATTCACTAGTTTATCTTTTTCTTTCTGCATTGAAACTGAGCAGAATTGATATAATCACTGAAATACAAAAGCACAATTGTACTGTCATTTTCTTATTTAAATATAAATTATTTGCATGTTGATGGAGCCGTTCTGTAATGGAGTTCTTACAACTTAATTGGTAGTGCCTTTACCTGTGAGAGAGAAGCTCCAGGATTAATTCTTTGGCTCCAGAAACTGCTTTCAGGGCACAGTTCATACAAGTTAATAATAAGCTTTCTCATTCTTTGAACATTTCCTCACTATTCCTGAAAGGGAGAAAAATGTATTACACACACAAATATGCAATAAGGGTGACCTCTTGAATCTCATATTTTTAACTACCTAGGGTGGGGTTACCCTGCATGGACTAAAATACAACATTGGAGTTGGCATTCTCTTCATTGAAGCTTGGCTAAGAGGTAAGGACAGTTTTAGAATTTTTTTAGTGATCACTTTCAAGTTACATATTGGAATGAATAACTATTATAGTGATTCGTTCAACAACTAGGAACTGAACAAATTGCCCATCACATTCCACCTTTAATCTGATTTAATAGAAAGATATGGGTCACAGCTGAAGCCCAAAGCAGCTTGGAAATACAATATTTCCAAACCAGCTAGATGATAAATCTGAGTCTCTGAACTCAATTCCAATTCTCAGTCTGATGCTTGGAAGTTGGTTAGTAGTAATATCTCAATCCATTAGATGGAGTTCCTTGCTATCATGATACACTGCACAGGGAAATTGGAGAAGAAGGTCAATATTTTCTGAACAACCTGTTCAGAAATTTCATTATCCACATCTGGAGCTGGTGGGACTTGAACCTAGGTCTACCTGACTCAGAGGTAGGAACACCCTCGCTGCGCCACAAGAGGGTTGAGGAGTAGGAGTTGCTCCGCTACACATAATCAATACAAAGGATGTGCAAAGTAGAAACACAACAATGCCTGCACTAAATGAATCCTAAGTCTGTAACAGGACTGAAAAGGAGATCTTGATTTCTTTTTGGAAGTTTTTAAGTTAACAACAGTTGTGATTTACAGCAGACTATGAAAAAAAGTGGCATTCGTCAAAATTTTGTACTGTTGCATAGCGGAAGAGAGAAGAAAAAGGTGGTGGACAGGGAGACGCCATGGGTATGACAAGAAATTCCTCCCCAGTTTGCACTCAGTTTTAACTTTAAACACTTCATTCAAGATTTTTATGCACAGACATCATTTTGTCACACCTATATTTTTTAAAGTTCAGACATAAACTCAGAATTTACTTCACAGAGCAGTATATTTATTTTAAAAAAATTTTAAATGAAGCAAGTTATTTTCCTAAACCTGTTCAGAAATGTTGTGACACACCTCCAAGACAGGTGAACTTGGAGATTTTGTTTCAGAGGCATGGACACTACCACTGCACCCCACTTTTATATGCTTTGTACCATTTAGTTTTCTCTCGCACTGCTCCCTCCCAGAACTTTTTCACATTTTTAATTAAGTCCTGATACGTTAATTGTTCAGTGATGTCTTGTCCAAATGAACCATTCTTCACATGCAAGCTTTAACCGAGGAGAGTCAATTTGCTAGTGGCAGAGCTTCGCAGTAGCTTCTTCTCAGCCACATTCTCTGGCCAGGATATATGTGTCCTCAGGCCCAAAAATGGTGATAAATCTCCTCCGCAACCTCCTCTCTAACTTGTTTGTGTAGCTCCTGTGTGGGGATTAAACTGTTTATATCCTCATCACTTTTGATGTGCAAGTCAGGAAGCATGTCTGCTACTTTTACCTTTCTGTAAGAAGCAATTAGCATTATGTACAGTTGGGAAAGAAAATAATATCTAGATGAAAATAACTGACAGGAATGTTAATAATTGTTCGAATACCAAAAATTACAAATTTGAAGTGAAATAACAAAAGTTTGAATCATTATGGATATATTTCCATTTAAGTAAGTTACAGCAACTTTATTTTTTTCTGTAGGCCAAGGTCACTTTTATTTTCGGGGTCAAGTGGAGGATTCAGCTACTGCAGAAATTTCCCGATCACAGGTAAACGATTATCTTCTTCATACAACAGTCAGATTCTTCCTTGTGTAATTATAATTCTGACATCTTGTGATTTGCTTCCACGGTATTAAGTAAGCATTTGATGCGCAAGTGATACATGCGCAAGTTTCTAACAATAGGTTTATCCACCATGGAAATTTTTTTTATTATATCTGATGTACCATGGTAAGTGTCTGTTTTATGTATCAATTACAGTAGAGATATCACTATTGCATAATGGAATATTTTCTCACCTTTTTGTAAAAGGTGTCTGTCAGCATTCTTGCATCAAGTGTGATATGGGTCAAAATGGAAAATCAAGTTACCTCTGCATTGTCTTAATAAAATGTCTAAAGGACATACTTTATACTCCATGGCAGAATGCCCATCTGAGGAATTTTTTTTACTATGATATCATGGACATTAAGAACTGGGTTGAAATTGCCAAAAAATATTTATCTGGGACAAAAGACAGTATGGAGATGAAATATCGATCCATTTGGAATTTCTCTCAAACTTGTGTAATCAGGTATAAGGATTATAACCTATCCATTGTCTCTGCAGAAATTATCGATTTTTCTTGTGGTTTACTTTATGGTAGCTTACCCATAAAGTAATTTTTCACAAAGTCAGACAGCGAGGAAGCTATTTGATCATGGAAGGTCATTTAAGGCGTGTATTAACCCTACCCCAAAGAATTACACTCACATACATGTTTTCCAGAGGGGAGTTAATAGTCACTAAGCAGGAGGGGGAAGTGTTCATAGTTTTCTTCAACCTAAAGACAAAGTGGGAGAAAGACTACTGCATCCAATTGTAATACACTCCAATTTCACCGGATTAAAATGGGAAATAAACTTTAAAGCTTCTTCACCTGCTCATACATGTTGCTTTTACTGACAAATGTAGGAGAAAGGGCTTTACCACTAAAATCAAAATTCAGAACAGTTGAGAGTACATAGCAAAATCGAGCTGACATTAATTTTTTTGAGGTTGGAAATATTCTTCTTTGAGCAAATGCAGTGGGCTGAAACTTTACATTTTCTTGGCTAAGTATGAGTTGTGTCGAGCTTCTTGAAGTGATGTTGACTGTGAGGCCTAGCGTGATTTCTCCCACTACCTTACAAAGCTCGCTTCATTAATGGGCTACATTGCCCCTTTGGGGTGCCTCACATCTGATTCCAGATGCATCTTATCCCACACCATTCCTGGACTCTTACCATTTGCTGGATATCCACCAAAAGACTGGTATCCCTTGCATCAGTGCCATCTTGAAAAGACCACATTGCACAAGGACGACCACTGGTATTGCAAACCTACGAAGCTGGGTCAAGGATTGCAGAAGATGTTGGAGAAGGGGAAAATGGTGCTATGATTCTCTGACAGGGTATTGGACATCCTGGTCAAGGGGTGGTGCCTGACAAATAGATCAGCATTCTTTGCGGAGACAGCAAACAGGATAGAGAAAGGGAGTCCGTATTTGTAATATAATTCAGATTTCCAAAAGACATTTAATAATGTGCCAAAATCAAAGCTGCTTTCATAAGACCCATGTTGTTCAGGGTAGTATATGAACATGGATAGAGAATTGGCTAACTGAGAGTTGAGAAGAGAGTTGGGATAAGGGAGACATTTTCAGGATGGCAACCTGTAACTATCGGAGTGGCACAGGATTCAGTTCTAGGGCCACAACTATTTACAGTATATATTAGTACAGTCAGTTCTGTCAGCCAAGGCACTATCATTAGGTTTGTGGATGACACAAAAGTAGATGGGAAGGCAAAGGGTGAAGAGGACACACTGAGTGTAGAGGGATACAGACACGTAAAGCGGATGCGCAAACTCTTGGAAGATTGAATATAACATGCCAAAACGTGCAGTTAAGGAAGAAGGAGCTGATTATTATTTAAATGAGGAAAGACCACAGGATATAAAAACCTGTTGAATTCTTAACCACAAAGGAATGTAGAGGCAGTGTGTTAAGTATATTCAAGATAGATTTTTAGTCAGTAAGAGAATCAGAGTTTATGGGATATGGTAGGATGGCCATAGTCTGAATGAACAGTGGATCAGACTTGAATAGACTACAACTTATGGTCTTCTGCATGTGGGCAGCTCCTGGAACCTGGAGTGATTCTGGTTATTAATGTTTATGTCCTTATGCAGACTAAGAATGTTTGGCAACTGGAAGGGCCATTAGGGACAATAAGTACAAAAGATTGTAATTTCAAAAAGCTAAATCCTATTAAATTTAATCTTCGCTTTTTGTTCCATTGAAAATCTTGCATCTTCAATTTCTCCATCCCTGCACTATCTTGGTGAATTTACACTATACAATGGAGCACTATTGGAGCACCATAACCCAACCAATATTCTGTATAATCGAATCAATATTTCTCTATTTCTGTGCTCTACTTGCAATCTTTAGAACCCTATGAATGATACTAATTTTTTAAAAATAGCCTTATCCACCTAATCCTACTCATTGAGAAAATTACATATGTAAGCCATGGTTCTGTTCACTTATTCACTTTAGAGAATCGGTTTATTTGGAAACTTCTTACCTGTTTCTCCTCTCACAAAATGTAATAAAGCTATCAATTTCCACCCATTCTGCTAACTGCTAATATTTTTTTCTGAATCCTTATAGTCTTCAGTGCTATTTGCAAATTTCATTTTTGTGCTATCAGGTTTTGTGATGTCCCTTAAAGCCAAATCTAAATTGCCTATATGCAGGGGTCCATGCTATTTATAGCCCATGCTGTTGTTTGCGTCTAAGTGCCAATTTTAGTAGGGAACAGTTTTCAGTACTCATTTAGCTATTTCATATTTACATCATTATTTTGGCATTTGCCAAAAAATTCATTCATTAATTCCCTTGGGAAACAAAGCCTCGTTTGTTGTTCTTTTGCCACTTGTCAGATGTTTCCTACAAATAACGAGGAGCCCCTGTCTACCAATGCCTTAAACAGACCCAATACTGACCCCTGGTGTACAGCTGACTAGCCTTATAAAATCTAAATAGGAACTATTAACCGTAAACATTTTGTTTCAAGTCTCTCAAGTAGTTCAATTTTCGTTTGTCACATTTCTTCCTGCACCATCCATCTTTTACTAATTAACCTCTTATAAAGCACATTAAATACTTTAAAAATGTCATAAAAAGCAGAATTCTTTGAGATCTTTTCAATTCAAAGTAGGAAACTCCTCTAGTTGGTTCATAGACCCTCCAGTCATAGCTAAGGAGTTTGAAGAGAGACAGAGATACCTACAAGATGACACTCTCTCGTCACCTATGGCAATAGTGGGCTTATTACTGATTTCTTGAGGTATAAATCCCATTATTCTTCTGCATGTTGTTGAGTGGAGATAGGGAATAAAACCTCCTTTGATTCATTTGATCCTATACATTCTGAATAACAATGCGAAGAACACCACCCACCCCCTCTGACAAAACTGGATATTTTGAGGGCATTGGCATGAACCCACTAACAAACCCCTGCAACTAGCATCTTGGTTTTTGTGTTGAGATATGTATCTTTACTTGATATTTCCAATGTTACTATTTCAGAGTCCGGCACACCTGGATCTGTGATATGCCAGATACAAGCCCATCCACTGGGCGTAGTGGCAACCTGGATTACTCCCAGGTCATTACCCCTTCCAGTCATAATATATCCTTTCAATATTTCTCTTCAATCTGTATAATAGGTTTGGCAGTGGATTCGACATGGAGTAAAATTGGAGGATGACAACAGAGTTGTCACCAGGAACCTTGTACACATGCTTGTAAAGGAATTAGGACCGGACCTACAGGAGGTTTTGGGCTGCTACACTGACAGGTAAGGAATGTAGAAGAAACTGTTAATTAGAAAATGTAGGCTGAAGCTTTCAATTTTTAAAAAAATCTAAATGGCAAGTTCCTGCCCAAGATATCTCCTGGAATAGGTATTGATCAGAGGAGAGATGCTTCCCAGGGGATACACATAAGCAAATGGGAACATGAGTAAGCTATTCCATCTGCCTCACTGTTGAAGACAATCATGGTTGATCAGACACTTCAAAGTCTTTTACTCACTCCATCTCCATAAACGTGTACATCATTGGTAATCAGACCCCTTATCAATCTCTACCTTAAGCATTCTCAAAAACTGAGCTCCCACAGCCCCATGGTAGAGAATTCCAAAAGCTCACAACCTACTGAGTAAAAGAAATCTTCATCTGGAACCTAGGTAGCATTCCCTTATTTTTAAATTGTGCCCTCCGTTTCTTGACTTCCCAACCAGGGGCAACATCTTTCCTGCATTTACCCTGTCTATCACTAAGTATTTTGTAAGTTTCAATAAGATCACCGCTCATTAGTCAAAATTTCAAGAATACAGGCCCTGATTGCCTGCTTTCTCTTCATTGAGCAGCCTTGTCATCCTAGGAACAAGTCTAGTGAACCTCCATTGCACTTGTAATAATATCTTTCCCGAGAGGAGACGAATGCTGCACACAATACTCTAGCATCGTCTAATCAAGCTCCTATACAATTGAAGCAAGACTTCATTACTCCTATACTCAAATCTTATCCCTTTTTTCCTCCAAAATTAGCTAATTATAAAGGGACCTTAATAAGTCACTTTATTTAGGAGCTCAGTGGAATGACCACTAGGGTAAAATATTTTTTAACCTGATAATTTGAAGACCATCATTGCAAATTAATTTTTCTTACAACGCACACAAATTAACATAAGGCTAGGAGCAGGAGTAGGAAATTCAACAGCTTGAACCTGCTCCATTTGATATGATAATGGTTGATCACAACTCCACTTGCCTGCCTGCTCCCCATAATCCTTCAACCCTTTACTAATTAAAAATTAGTCTATCTCCTCTTTAAATGTACTCAATGTCCCAGCACCCACTGGATTCTGGGCTAGTGAATTTCACAGATTCACAACCCTTGGGAAATAATTGTTCATTTGTTTTAAATCTGTCTGCTTTTATCCTAAAACTAGGACCTCTCGTTCTAGATTGCCTCACATGAGGAAACATCCTTTTTGTATCTACTTTGTCAATATCATTGAGCATCTTATATACTTCAATTAGATCTCCTCTCATTCTTCTAAATGCTAGAGTGTCTCTGGAATCAAATTAGTGAATCTCCTCTGAACTGCCTCCAATGTAGTTACATTGTCTGTGAGTAAGGACACTAAAATTGTACGCAGTACCACAGATGCGATCTCACTAATGCTTTGAACAGTTGCAGGAGTACTTCACTTCTTTTGTAGCCTTTTCCTTTTGCAATAAATGTCAAAATTCCATTTGCCTCATTATCTGTTATACCTAGAATCCTTACAGTGTGGAAGCAGGTCTTTTGGCCCATCAAGTTTACCCCAAATGTCCGAAGAGCATCCCACCCAGACCCACCCCTCATCCTGTCCCTGCATTTCACACCCTAGACACTATGGGCAATTTAGCATGGCCAATCCACCTCACCTGCACATCTTTGGACTGTGGGAGGAAACCCAGGCAGACAGGGGGAGAATGTGCAAACTTCACACAGACAGTCACCTGAGGCTGGAATTGAACCTGGGTCCCTGGTGCTGTGAGACAGCAGTGTTAACCACTGAGCCACCTTGCTGCCCCTGTATACCCCATTAAACTTAAACTGCCAAATTTTGGCTCATTCATCTCCCTCCCTTTTTGAATAAGGGTGTTATATTAAAGCTTTCCCAGTCCACTGGAACCTTTCCTGTATCCATGGAATTTTGATTATAACCAATGGATCTAGTTTCTCTGCTGCTACTTCCTTTAAGACCTGAGGACATAGGCCATCAAGCCCTGGGGATGCAATTACCTTCAGTTCCAATAGTTTACTCGGTACTTTTAAGTGATGGTGATTGTTCAAAGTTCCTCCTTTTCTATACCTCTGCATTACCTGTTACCATTGGGATTGTACTAATGTCCTCTACAGTGAAAACTGAAGCAAAATACTGATTTAGTGACTCTGCCATTTGTGTTCCCTACTGTTAACTACCCAGTCTCATTCTCCAAATGACGAATATTCACTTTAGCTACAGCCTTCCCTAGAAGCTTTTGCTGTCCACTTCTATATTTTACATTAGTTTTTTTTCCACAATTTATCTTTGCTCTTTTTACAACTTTTTTTTTTGTTAGTAACTCTTTGTTGTTCTTCAAAAGTTTTCCAATCTTCCAGTCTGCCACTCATCTTTGCAACGTGGTATGCCTTAGTTTTTTTCTTTATATTATCTTTAACTTTCTTGCTTAGCCATGGAACTTCTCCCCCTTTACGATCTTTCTTCCATGCTCGAATATATTTCAGTTGGGAGCAATTGAATATCTCCTTAAACATCTTCCAGTGCTTATCAACTGTCCTACCGTACTGTCCAATCCACTAGGATCAGATCTGTCCTCATGCCTATGTAATTACCTTTGTTTAACTCCAGAATGTTAGTGTGAGACTCCAGTCTCTCACTCTCCGGCTGAATTTCAAATTCTAGCATGATATAATCACTCTTCCCTAGAGGATCCTTAATGATGAGATAATTTATTACTCTTACTATACAATAGCAAATCCAGAATAGCCTGTTCCCTGGTTGGTTCCACAACATATTGCTGCAAGAAACAATCTTTAATACATTCATTGAACTCTCCCTTGAGGCTACCCTTGCCAATTTGATTAATCCAGTCCTATATGTTTATGAAAATCACCGATGATTACAGCTGTATCTTTCTTAAATTTCCTAGTTTATACTGTGTCCCAATGTGGGACTGCTGTTTAGGACCTATAGATTACTCCCTCTTGGTACTTACTTCCCTTGCTATTTCTTATTTCTACCCAGAGTGATTCTATATCTTGATCTCCAGTGTGGAGATAATTTCATGCTAGAGCATTGATCTTTAATAACAAAGCTCCACCACTTCATTTTCCTTCTAACCTATCCTTCCAAACACTCAAGTACCCTTGGACATTCCATTCCCAAACCTGGTCTCTCTGCAATCATTTCTCAGTTATTACCATCAAATCATACCCATTCATCTCTCATTGTACTATTACTTCAATGTATGCTTTACTCATTCAGATACAAAATCTTTTAAGTTCATTCTGTTATCAAATTTCCCTATTTTTGTAAGATTCCTTGGTGTGGAATGACACTCACTTATTTTGTCCATTCCTCTTTTCTGGTAACAATTAGACTCACTGACCTATAGGTCCTTCCTCTCCTAACTTTGATTTTCTAATGTTCCATGTAACTGAACCTTCCTGCCCCCAATTTAGTTTGAATCCCTATCTACAGCCTTAGTTTTGCCAGTCCATCCTATTGGAACAGCTCTCTTCTCCTCCAGCACTGGTGCCACTATCCCATTTCTCCCACACCAATCTTTTAGCCAGATGTTTACCTCTTTAATTTTGAAACCCTGTGACAAGTAGCTTGTGACTGAGGTAGTAATCCAGAAATTACTACCTTCTGGCTCTGCTTTATAGTTCAACTTCTAGCTGCTCATATTCCCTCAGCAGAACCTCTTTCTTCATTCTACCTATATCGTTGGAGCTATGTAGACCATGACAACTGGATTTTCCCCCCCACTCCATTTTTCCTTGCACGAGAGGAGATATCCTGAACCCAGGCACCGGGCAAGGCAAGCCTTCAAGACTTTGATCCTTGCTACTGAGAACAATGTGTATTCTCTGCTGTCGTCCACAGGGAGAAAGATTCTCAAATGTGTTGGGATCACGACAAGGGCGGAGGCTCTTGCAGCACTACCTCCTGGATCCCTTTAACTGCCTTGCTCACAGTCACATTATCCTGTCCCTGACCACTGACCGAATTTGAGGTAGTTAATCCAAGGGTGTGACTACCTCCTGAAACACAGCGTCCAGCTAACTCTCCCCTCCCTGATGTGCTGCAGTGTTCAAAGCTCAGACACCAGCTGATCAAGCCTGAGCCAGGATTACTCAAGCAATCAACGCTTGCTATAGATGTGGTCACTATGAGCCACAATGCCCTCCACCCAGCTCCCACAACATATAATGACATCACATTGTTTGGCCCTGCATCTCTGTTTATTTAGTTCATCATTTGTCTTTTTAAAAAAATTCCCTCTGGTCTTTAGTTTTTAAATCTATGAAAGATTTCTCCTATTTACTTTTAATCTGAAAGCAACAGATAATAGATAGTCAAGTTAGCAGCTAGAGAACTAAGGAAACATCACACCCTGCAAAGACCTTGACAAAACTGCACAATTGAGCTGTTTTGAACAGCAAACAACCAAGCATTTACAATCCTAAAAAGTTAGTTAATAACAGCACAAGTGACCTTCAGACTGATGAATGCAAAACAGTGCCTTCACACTTAAAGCAATGGCAGGTATAATCAATGTGACCTGTCTCTTGCAGTGAAAACAACAAACAACGATTGATTGAATTCTTTTTGAACTGGAAAATTCAATTATTACCATACCAGCTTTGGCACTAAAATGGTCAACAATAAGTAGCTTGGGGTGTAAGTGAATCCCCATTAAGTGAGGAACAGTTGTGACAAACAACCTTCTCCTCCATGCTTTGCTTTTGATTTATTTTGGTGAGTGCATTGTGCATACATTTACATGATACACTTCTCAAATACTCTCATGAATAGAAAATAATTTAACAAAATAAAATGCTTGTTAGTTATCAATCTTTGATTCTGAATGAAAGCTAATTTTTTACATTAAGCTCAGTAATATTTTTTCACTAATGCAAACCATCAGCCACAACCAATAAGAAATCAGCATAGTTCAGGAGGTTGCACTCGTACTTGAAGCAGGCTGTGGATTCAAATCCCATTACCGACTCAACATAATCCAAATGCAATTCAGGATGAGAATGTTGCATTGTTAATGGTGCAGTTCATCAGTGCCAGTGACTGGATGAACTCACCCAGAATCCCAGTCAAAACCCAGAAGTTGACACCAGGTTATAGTCCAACAGATTCATTTGAAATCACAAGCTTTTGGAAGTGTAGCCCCTTTGTCAGATGAAGTGAGAGAGAAGCACACAGAATTAATGGGCAGAAAGATCAAAAGATCATACAAATGGCATAAGTGGAGTGTTGAATAACAAGTCCCTGCAGGTGATCTGACATGTGAATGAAGTGTCAACAGCTGAAGAGCAAGTGAAGGGATGACATATAATCTGCTTAATTGATGCAAAGAGATAATTACAAAAAAAATTTTAAAATGAGATGGTGCTGGAGACAAACTAAATGACTGGAATAACATGACAGCTGTAACAGTCATATGCTGATTGTCTAACCAAAATAATAAGTAATCCTAAACTGTACAAACTAATTAAGGTTGAGAGATCATAACAATTTATCGAGGTGATGCTGACAAAGCAGGAGAGTAAGGAAGGTTTTACAGGATACAGAAGTGTCGTGGAGTCACGTAGTGCGATATGAACCCAAGATCATGGTTGAGGCCGTCCTCATGGGTATGGAACTTGGCTGTCAGTTTCCACTCAGCGATTCTGTGATGTTGTGTATCTCGAAGGCCACCTTGGAGGATGCTTACCTGAAGATTGGAGGCTGCATGTCCTTGACAACTTAAATGTTGCCTGAATGGGAGGGAACATTCCTGTCTGGCATTGAAAGTTGTGAGAGAACATCTTCATTCTAATTGCATTGTAGAAAGATTTTTAAAGGCATACACACACATTACCCTTTCAATAAAACATGGTTGGCTACAGAATAGGATATTGTTCAATCTGTTTGGGCAAGCAGAGGCTTAGCAACTACTACAACAATGAGCTAGGATGGAGGTGGATTCTTGGCTCTTATACCTCAGGTTGCCTTACAAGAGTTGGCTTCAATATGTACATGCAACCTAGAGAATAAATTTAACTAAAGAGGAAATAACTATACTACTTAGAACTGCTAATGTACAATTTATTTTCCTATTGGACGAATATACTCTTGAACCATTAGCATAATTATTTAATAAGTATTCATTTTGTCTTCTTTCCCCAGCTGCAAACGACGACTTACTGTTGCTTCTGAAATGTTCCTTGAAATTGTGCAAAAACGAGATTTCCCAGAATTCCTCACCACATACCTGAACTTGGAACACACATTTTTAAGTGCAAACCATTAATTCCATAGAATCCGTATTCAACAATGCAAGATAGTTATTCCAGCAATGTTTTTGTATGCAAAAGCAAGTGATTACAAATGGCAAACTTTACAAAGGACTTCAAATAAATTTTTCAAAAATCTCAGGATCAGCACTATTATTGCATTTTTAATATTTCTAGAAAAACCTTTAAGCCTCATGTAAACATTTGCAAGTTCACATAATGAAACTCTGACAAGTGATCATTGCCACTGCTGCAGGATTCAACCAAGTAATGCACTACCAAATCCTTTGCAATCCAGTACTTTTAAAGCTTTAAAAATAATAAGGTATTTTGCTATCTTGTTGGCTTTCATTTGACATGTGAATAATCACATTTGTACCCACCGGCAAGAATGCCACATAAATTCTGTACAACATAAAAGACCCCTCTATTTGAGGGTGGGGCTACAAGCGATGCAGAATTTTGAGGAAACACTCAAGTCAGGGTACAACAGTTAGATGTGGAGTACACCTCCTTCCAGGTATGTCAAAGGCAACCTCTGAAAAGTAGTTTCTGAAATTTGAAGTATCAAAATGGTTTAAGGCATTGCATTGTGAACTAAACAAGTTAATCCAGATTGGACCAAGAACTGATTGATTGCACATTCAGGCAGATTTAACTGAACATCAGAATAGGTGAAATACAGTTATGCTGATCGCTATTACCATGGACACCTGCTGAATTACTTTCAACTTGACTAACTATAGACAATCCCCATATAAGTTCAAAAGGTCAACTCCAGAAATAGGGGGTAAGAGTTAAGCCATAGACCCCTTCAAGCTTCCTGTTATTCAACTTGTGCATGAACTCCTCTCTCAACCTCTATCCCAATAGTTTTTGATTTGCTATGCACTGACAATCTTTATCAATCTCAATCTGGAGTATGCTCATCATCGAAACATCTGCAGCCTTTTGGCATTCCAAATATTCATATTCCAGTGAAGACATTCCTGTATCTCAGTTCTAAATGGCCGATCCCAAACCATGAAAATGTTAAATCGAGAAACTGCTAATCAGCATTCCCTTGCAAAGCCCCCTCAAGAATTTCATATCATTTCAACGAGATTACCTCCCATCCTTCCAAACTTTAGACAATACAGGCTCATTCTACCCAAAATGAGAAACACAATAGATCAACACCTCGGTGGCCAGGTTTTGAATCGAGAGCAATGAACAGAATATAAAAAGCACATTTTTTTTTTTGAACAGCAGTTACGTTTTGGACAGCTATTTAACCAAACAGATTTCTAGTATCTGTAACATTTTGCTTTTGTTTTCAAATATTCACTCTTTTAAAGAGGGATCAACAGCAGGGTTTAATAGTTGTTGATACACTGACTTGTTGGTAGAGTGATTGCTGAAATTGAATTGCTTTGACACAGACAAAAATAGAGAATGCTGGAAAAGCTCTGAAAGGAGGGTCACTCAGCTCAAAACGTGAACTCTTTCCACAGATGCTGCCAGACCTGCTGAGTTTTTCCCAGCAATCTCTATTTTTGTTTTTATTTGCTTTGTCATTATCTGTCTATATTGCATTTTTTTTATTGGTCAAAAGTTGTTGAGAAATTTGTGTTGTCGTAGTCTTACTGGACCATAGGGCTGCTCTCTCATTAGAGAAAGATGACTGGTGGTGATTTAACCTGAGGGCCACCATACCTCAGGTGAGAACAAGACTCCTTCATGGTAACCTCAGCTGGTCACGGGAATTGAACCCATGCTGTTGGCATCAGACTGCTTTGCAAATCAACCATCCAGCCAACTGAGCTAAACGAACCCCTGTTGGGAAACTAATTAGATAGCCGATAGAAATATTGAAACAGTGGAAAGTTGTTGTTGTTTTGGGATCAGGATACTGAGTGCTAGCAAACTCCTGTAGATTTAAAAAAAAATAGAAAGTGTTGGAAATATACAGATCCAACAGCATATAGAGAAAATAGATAACCTTTTGAATGTAAACTTATGATTAAAGTCATAGATCATGGCTATGTCCAGATTTTGTTTATCAAGTACTGCTGTTTACCATGCTGAAACATTCACTGAACTCTTTACAGAAGACAGCAAAGTCAAATACTTTGTACTGAAAATACAAGTTTAGAAAACAAGCTACATGTCTACTTTTCAAGAAAAATATTCAGTCTGAAAATTTAACTAGTACCAATTAAAGTGTTAAAGGAAACTTGTTCCATTCCAATTCTGTGCCAATATCAAGACTAATACTTTTGCATTTGTACAAAGATTACTCTGTTTCTTTCACTACCGTGCTTAAGTTAATATGAATAGTACTCAGCCAAATGTCCTTGTCTGATTCTCATGGGGAAAGACAATCTATCAGCAAAATAATTGTGGGGCCAAACACACACTAGAGAAACAGCAGGTCTGGCAGCCAATATGGAGAGTTATTGTTTTGAGTCTAGTATGATCCTTCTTCAGAATTGAAAGCTGTTGGATTTTTAAAAATTGTATAGCTTTAACAGAGCTGGAAGAACAAGATGGCACTCCAATAAAATGGATGCTAATTAAGGTGTGAAAGGGAGAGATTTGGTATTCTCTATTAAGAGCGAAGTAAACAAGACATAAACAAGAAAAGGCTGTGTGCTGACATTTGTTTTTTTTTGGGGGGGTGCAGCAAATGTAAGAAAAATGGAGAACAGACATTGCGCTCAGTTTCTAAGGTTATGGAATTCAATATTTGAACCTTGAGGCTGAGAATTACCTAATTAGAAAAAAAGAGATGGTGTCCCTCAAGCTCACCAAGTGCTTCACTGGAACTTGCAGCAAGCCCAAGACAGAAATGTTAGCATGAAAACAAGAACTAGGAAATCAGGGTCATTCCTATGGACAGAATAAAGTTTTATTTTCAGAAAGAAGTCATCCGTCAGTGTTTGGCCTCAGCAATGTAAAGGAGACTGCACTGTAAGCAGTAGAACTAGATTAAAGCACTGCTTCACAAGGAAATTATGTTTGGGGCGTTGACAGTGAAGAGAGGGGGGTGAAAGGGCAAATATCACACCTTCTCTGATTGCATGGGGATGTGCCAAGGGGAGTGAAACAGTAGCAGCACCTCCACGCTGTAGGAATGATCCTAACTTCCCAGTTGTTTGCCATTTCAATAAATTACCTTGGTCTCATGTTAACATCTCTGCCCTTGGCTTGATGCAATGTTCCAATGAAGCACAACACAACAAGAAAAACACCTAATTTTCCATTTAAGCACTATACAGCCTCCAGGTCTAAATACTGAATCCATTACTTTTTAAAAACAGCCCCTAACCCCACAGCCTTATCTTGTTTTTGCCATTTACTTTCTCCATTATAGGGAGGACCCATTTAAGCTATTTTATATCTCTCTCTTTCACCAACATTAACAAGTTCTTTGTTTTTTCACATGGGGTCTCTACACCATCTATCCCCTTGCTTCTCCTCCACCTCTGTCAATAACATATAATGAAAAAAAAACCCACCCTTTTCACTTTAAAGTCAGTCATATTGGACTTGAAATGTTAACTCTGTTTCACTCTCCATAGATGCTGCCACACCTGCTGAGTTTCCCCAGTATTCGGTGTTTGTTTCAAATTTCCAGCATCTGTAATATTTTGCTTTCATTCAAGTGTGGGGATAATATGGTACTACTATAATCTATAAATAAGTGAAGACAAATATTTAAATTGATTACATCGCATCACATCATAGACTTTGCATACAAATATAGGAAAAAAACTATTCTGTGGGTTAAGGTGCATCTGCGGAGAGGATGAGTTAATGATTCAGGTTGATGAACTGATTATCCTCAACTTCATGCTCTTGCCTTCTTCCCATAACCTTGGATTCGCCGATGAATAATCTGGCTACCTCAGCCTCGGCAGCTCACTACAGTAAAGAATATTGCAGATTTACTAGCCTCAGAAGAAATTCCTCCACATCAGTTTTATATACGCAACCCCTTATTCTGAGATTATGATCATTTGTTTAAATTCAAATACATTACTAAATGTAATTTGTAGGTTTGAGCAGGCAAAGAGTTAAAAGAATGATTCTGCTATTCTCATTGATTGGTCTTCTAGACCCATCCTTTATCTTTATTTATCACATTACCACCACCTTTTGCCATGCATCAAGTCTTCTTCTCAGTTAATCTCTCCTGTCCTCCATTCAATCACAGGCTTTCTTCTGTCATTTCCTTGTTTCCACTTGCTCAAACTGTGCTATCCCCGACGTATTCCAGTTCTAAAGGAAACTAAACTGAAATGTTGACTTTTCTCTTTTCACTCAATCATAAACCTTTCTCTATTTTCTTCCCTCACTCTCCACTTGTTTAAAACCTTTTGCACTGACATTTTCAGTTCTGAAAGGGCTGAAATGGTAACTTTCTCTGCAGATGCTGCCTGCAATGAATATACCCCACAGTTTACTTGATTTTGCACATGCAAAATATTTTGTTCTGTACATTTTTTTGTGAATAATGCATTGAATATTTAATGTTTCTGGTGAATTTTTATTTCCTATATAATTAAATCTTATGGTAAAATGTCTATCTGGACAGAAAAATGTTTTGGTTCATATAATTCATCAAGTGGAATAACAGTCAACTGAAAGATGAGATTCCAATTACAGAAAACCAATGTTCAACTTGTATTTACGTATCTTTACAGATTCAGCCTTATTATCTTCATTAATATAGTTTACTTCAAATAATCTACAACACAGCTTATTGTATCCACAAATACAGCCACTTCATTTCTGCATAATCAAAATTAATTTATACCAAGTACTTTTTAATATACTTTCTAGACAGATGTTTCATCTACTCCATTGATCAAATGCTGTTGCAAAATTCTAAGGCAAACTTCGTGGGTTGAGGTGGGACTGAAAAAGAGTGGAACTAGTTTTCTTGTTAACTGTCAAAAAACATTCAAGAAATATTGTTACTACTGCAGTTGCCAGATACTTCTCTATTTTCCATATATTTTGTTCGTGGCAGTTTGAGATTGCTAAATGGAGTGTCCTGGATGGTGTACTCTTACCAACTTGAATGAGACTCACCAAGCTTATGTGCGCTAAAAGGTGCACTGTACTCTGATCTTACAGCAGATGATATAGTTTTTTTAAAAAAGGGTTTGACAGAAACACTAAAATGCAAGGAATTTAGACAGTATTGTTTCTTGAATAACTAGAGACAGGAAGAATTACCTTGTCAAAGCAAAAATTAATGTTTTCTCCCAAGGCAGATCAATTTATTTCTTCACCTGAGACTAACATTACTTTGGGTCTTCCTGGTAAGTGGTATGCCAGTCCAGCGGGCTAACCTGAACTTTACAGTGAGTGGACAATGAGAAGGACCTATCATTTCTGCTTTCACCCTATCAATTACAGCTGCAGTGACCTAATGGATCACTTATAACATTTGCACATGCTTGTTATTTGATCCATTCCAGGTGTGGAAATGGGCACATCCACATTTTCTAAAGAAAATGAAGACAATTTGTACCCTTCCAATTTAAAGGATTCTCATTTGCGACAAAGTGAATGCTGTTAAATGCACGGAGAGTTGATTCTAACATTAAGACTTATGACAAACATGACACAAACACTACCAGTTTATTAGATGCTGAATACAACCATTGTGGTTAAAATGGAACTAACCACATAAAACAAATGTAAAATTTTACATTTCATATTCTGTGTCGGTATTCTGTGTGCTGGATGGATCTCAGACAATGAAAAATAAAACCCTACACAAGGCTCAGTGCTGAAATGGTTTAAGACATGAACACAAAAAACCTGTGATCAAAATCAAATCCTAACAAGAGTTCAGGGTCAAAGCAATTGTATTGAAGTAGACCCACTGATAATCCTAGCTTGTGAACCAGTGAGACAGTCCATCATTCATACCAACCTAGGAAACACTATCAACAGACCCACAGCTGCATTATTTGGATGGATGTAGACAGTACTTTCAGCCTCCAACCTGAACTGTTTCAAAAGTGGTGAGGAAAAAACACACAGAAGTGCTGCAACATTCAAATGGAACATTGTGCAGTCTTTTTACTTGGTTCGTGTAGCCAAAATGTCAAGTCAGTAACATAAGAATTCACAACCTTGGATTCAACTTCTCTGAATTGTACGCTTCTTAGATACCAGCTGGGATTAGGACAGACGAAATACAAACAAGTTGTATACAATTAAAATCAAATAAACAGGGATCAAATCACACTTTCTTCATAAGTAACACAGTGGTTTAGAATCAAAATGCTGGGGCACATAATTTTTAAATAAACCTCCTGGAAACGGATATCTCCAAAATAAAAACCATGTTAATAAATACCCCAGTTGGAACAATTTTCAAAAAAAAACTGTTTATTGCATTGTATATTTGGTACCTTTTGCATTTCAGAACGATGGGAATTAATTGTAACTGCAGAAATAAAGAAGCAAATCCTTTTTTTTCCAAAAATTCTGGGCCCCTTTTAAAAACATACAAAGTTTGGGGCATGCGTAAAACTGCAGAGCAATAAGTATCTTTAGAAATGTTGGGCTTCAAGTACTATAATTGACATTGCATGGAGGGAAAAACCAGTATTCAAATGATCAATGTATAATTTTCTACATAATCTTTGTCAGGTAGTTACTGATGAGAACCTGTATCTGCATTAACAAACCAGTCCTGAGTCCAGGTCCAATCTTTGAAATTAGAACCTGAACCAAGTTAATCTATCAAAACACTTCCTACTTCATCAAACTTTCAGGATTTAAAAATAAAGTAATAACTGTTCGCTGACTACCTAAATGTATTACTTTAGGTCGTCAATAAGCAGCAATATAGAAACACAGACTCAGAACTGTTCCGTAATGCAGCTGGTGATTTCCAGATGTACTTATGTGTTTGTTAGAAAATTCCAAAGAATTTAGAAATGATGGTCAATACATGCCCTAATTTTTTTCCTCTCCCTCTTTCTCCTCTGTCTTCAGTTCCAAATACCTCTATCCCTCTTTAACACTTTTTTTAAACTGGGTACATTAATCTGTACATCACAATATACATAAGGTTTTTTTCCTGTGGTCTGCATGTAGTTTCCATTCATTTTCTGTCAGACACTGCCGCCCTGACAAAGTTTGTGCTTAGAGGATCCAGTGCTAGGGCAGCATACTGCTGACCATCACAATCTCAAGACAGCAATGATTAAACAACATTTTTGTGTCACACCCAACTTTTTAAATAGCTCTCAATATTCTTTAGAAATTACATTAAAAACCCGGAAAGCCAATTGCAAGAAGGGTGTTGAGTGCATTCAAATGATGTCAACCTCTCACTCACAGGGGGTTCACAAACACGTGGTACAGAAGTTGCCTCCAAAATTTCAGATAATATTTTTGAAGTCAGCAGGATAAAAAAAAAAGACCTTCAATTCTGAAAGTCTATGTTCTGTAAGCATTTATGAAACCCTGACACATATTTACAGATCCTGTGGTTAAGAGTGGGGAACTGACATCAGAGGTGTGCAACAAAAATGTGTTCACTTCAGGCACCATCTTCATTCAGATCTCATTGGCCAGTTCTTCAGGTTCGGTAGCACTATCTCCATTCACTGTGATCTTTGAATCATCTTCATATCCAGGAGGCATGAATGCAAGAGCATAGGGAAAAATCTTGTGACACTGTGCTCTGTAGGTTTCAGCTGTTTCTTTACAGACTCCCAGACTACCATCCCGTACAGCTTCCAACACCTTCACACATATCTGAATTAAAAAAAAAGGTCAATCTTGTCAAACTAAGAATTGTAATTACCCTGTTTGCACATTAGACCAACTGATGATAGACCTGTCATTCTACAGTATCAAGGAATAATTAAGAGTATCTCAGGAAAATATACATTTAATCAAGACCACAGAGTTAGTTCCTGAAATCATTTTAAACAGGTAGCTACTCAATGTGGTTTCAAATGGAAATATCCCCTTAGGAGGAAAAGTAAATTTTGCAGCATATTGTACATAAGGCAGACTGGGGTCCACACAATTAGATGATCTCTACCTTGTAGAAGTCATTATAACTGCTGTCAGCCTTCTCATTGGGCAATCTATGGCGTTTTCCTTGGCCTACACCAAATTTTAGGCGACAGCAGGTACTTAATAATAGACAAACCAATTTAGATAATATGAAATACTGACCATCTAGCTAGCTAGGGGGAGCCCTTCAGAAGTAGGGGGAAACAGTCTATAGCTCAAAAATGTTTTTGTGGATCCCATCGAGGAAATTAAAAACTCTGAAAAAGATTTCAGCTACATTTATTAAAGCTGGACCCAACAGTCAAAGTTGTTTAGTGTACTTATAACTGAAAAGCTAGCATCTTTACCATTAAGATGATCAGATTCCAGGGAATTATTGAAATGGAAGGCTTTTTTCCCCGCACTCCTCCAAGGTCAAACTTCTGCTTCACTAAGAAAACTGAATCATTTGACCATTTGCAAAAAAAAACTTAAGTCATTAAAAAGAACTCTTGAAAAAGAATAGCTGATAATACCTGACACTGGTGTTTACAGTTTTGTATTACAGCTGGCTTCACTGGCAAAATGAGCATTGAACTGCCAATAATTAGGATGCTCTTAACTGTTAAACCTATTAAAAATAATTTTGTGCAGATACAGGCTCCATCTGTCTTAAAAGCACACATACTGCACCAGGGATAGTATGTCTTTTCTTCATCGTTGGGCTTTGCATTAGATTAAGCAGTCACTGTCACAACATGTGCTTTTGAAAACAGATAGAGGGAGTTGGGTAAATTTTTCTCTCAGCCAAGTGGACTTTTGGACCTGACTGAAAAGGGATTTAACAGTCTAGAAAGCTAATTAACTGAGAGACTTAACCAAGCTTATTCACTTCAGCCCAAGCAATATTCATTTATCTGACGTCTTCCTGCACAATCAAAGTAGCTATCAAATGCTGGTGAGAGAGTCTGGAAATCCTTAAAATAACTAATGAAAAATATTTTTCTCCATTTTTTCTTTTATTCAGCTATTGCTGAAGCCACTCCTGCTATCTACGTTTTGAAAGCCAGGTTCATGTTACTGCACTCATTACTATGCTCTATGTGAACATTAATAGCAGCATGCAACTCCATTCCTGATGCTTTAACAGAGATTACACATAATTTAGAATAACAACTTTGATCTTCTGCCTTTTTTAACCACAGTATCATTAATAATTTGTAATATTATGAGAGGCATGGATACGGTGAATAGCCAAAGTCTTTTCCCCAACATAAGGGAGTCCAAAACTAGACAACAGAGGCTTAAGGTGAGAAGGGAAAGACTTAAAAAGGACCTAAAGGGAAACTTACTCTCACAGAGGGTGGTGAGTGCATGGAATGAGCTGCCAGAGGAGGTGGTGAGGCTGGTATAATTACGACATTTAAAAAGCATCTGGACGGGTATATGAACAGGAAGGGTTTGCAGGGATATGGCCAAATGCTGGCAAATGGGACTAGATTAAATTAGAATATCTGGTCGGCGTGGACAAGTTGGACCGAAGGGTCTGTTTCAGTGCTGTACAAGTATGAAAGGTAATCTGCTATACAATAATGCTAGTGAGGTGCCACAACGGGTCCGAACTATTTATAATCTATATTAATGACCTGGACGCAGGGATGGAAGGTACTATATCCAAATTTGCAGATGTCACTAAAATAGATGGAAAAGTAAGCTGCAAAAAAGAAATAAGAAACTTACAAATGGATATGGAGAGATTAGGTGAATAGGCCAAACTTTGGCAGATGGAGTTTAACGTTGTTAAGCGTGAGGTTATTCATTTTGATCTGAAGAGTAGGAAGGTGTCATATTATCTAAACAAAGACACATCAGGGTGCTTCAGTGCAGAGGGATCTGTGCATGAGTCACAGAAAGCTAGTATGCAGGTACAGCTGGTAACAAGGAAAGCAAATGGAGTTTTAGCATTTACTGAAAAAGAAATAAGAGTTAAAGAGCAGGGAAGTGTTGCTGCAACTAGACAAGGCATTAGTGAGTCTACACCTGAAGTACTGTGCACAGTTTTGGTCTCTATACTGGAGATGTAGTTGGACTGAAGGCAACTCAGAGGAGATTCACTACATTGATTCTAGGTGAGGGGTTTGACTTATAAGGAAAAATTGAGCAGTTTAGCTTTATACTCCCTATTGAATTTAGAAGAATGAAAGGAGATCTAATTGAAGTACACAGATGCTGAAGGGATTGATGAATTAGACATAAAAACTATGTTTCTTCTTGTGGGGCAATCTAGACCGAGAGGTTATAGTTTTAGGATAAGGGGGTAGCAGACTTAAAACAGAGAAATTACTTCTCTCAAAGGGTTATGAGAATTTGTGTGATTCACTACCCCAGAGTACCATGGATGTAGAGACATTGAGTAAATTTGAGGAGGAGATAGGCATATTTTTAATTAGTAATGGGTTGAAGACTTACGGGGAGTGGGTAGGAAAATGGAGTTGAGGTCAAGATGAGATCAACCATGATCATACTGAATGGCGGAGCAAGCTTCAGGGGCTGATCTACATAATCCCTACGCCTTCCACTTACAGTATTAATTGTTTTGCAGTTCTAGTTTCAATTTTAGTGCAAATGGGTTAACAAGAGCAGATGTTTCTTGCTAACTGATACAGAAGAAATAAAGTAACTCACAAGAAGTGGATTTGCATAAAGTTGCAGAAAGATCCATCACGAGAGTCAAACTGATACGACAATGATCCCAAACTACGCAGAATACAGTAGTTCTAAAGCAGTATTCTAGCCCAGCCCTTTTTTTCCTCACCTTGCTAACCTCTCAACTATGAAGCATCTGCAGCCATGGGTGGGACAGCCTTAATCATCGGTCGCTGCAGATTAAAAGCAGGCCATTTCTTTTCACTGACTGAAGCATGTATGAGGGGCCTGCAAGGAGAGAAAAATGGGAATTTGTTTCTCAAACAATAAAGCTCACCTGGATGCTTCTCTTGTCTAGAAATTCATCAAGTCCTGTAGCTAATTCCACTGCCCTTTTTTGACTGGAAGGATCATTGTAGTACATCATTTTGGCAGCTGTAAAAAAAATATTAACAGTTTTATATCTTCCTGTGAAAAGAATAACAGATGCAATTTGGAAGAGGGGGCAAAACCCCAAAATCTTGACTTTACCTGTCAGGGTTTCAGAAGCTGTAGCTAAGGCTAAGGCTATCAATACACATTCAACTTAGCTTCCTTTAAGAAACGAAGCCTTCCCTAAGCTGCTGTGCACTATTTTACCGGATTACTTAATCACTAGGTTTCAAATACTTTTTCAAGTATTAAATCCAGTTTGACAAGTGACATTTGGTTAATCAAGCATACTTTTTCAATAAAGTATTCTAGTTTTGCCTAGTGAAAAATTCCTCTGCATAAAAAAAAAATTGATTGCTAAAGATAACCAGGCAAGCCACGCAAAATTGGCACCCCTTAATTCTGAGACTATGCCCTCTAGTGGTAGACTCTCCCATGAGAGGAGATGTCCTCTCAGCATTTACCCTGGCAAGCCTTTAATTAATCCTACATGTCTCAATGACATCACCTCTCACTCCCAACCTGTTTAGCCTTTGTTCATAAATCAATCCCTCCATTCTAGGGATAATTATAGTGAACTTTCACTGAACTGCCTCCAATGAAACGATATATATTCTTAAATAAGGAGACCAAAACTGCTCATGGTACTGCAGATGTGGTCTCACCACCACTTTGTATAGCTGCAGCACAACTTTCCTACTCTGATCCTCCAAATCCTTTGAAATAACGGCCAATATTCCATTAGCCTTCCTGATTATGTGCTGCACCTGTGTGTTAATCTTCTGTATTTCATGCACAAGTACCCCCAAATCCCTTTGTGCCACACCTTTCTGCATTTTTTTCTCCATTTAAATAATGTTCTGATCTCCCTTCCAAGATGAACCACTACACAGTTTCCAACATAATACACCATTTGCCAACTTTTTGCCCATTTGGATAAATTACCAAAATGACTCCGTAAGTTGTTTGTATGAGCTAGATGGGTTTTTAAAAGAACATTTGGCAGTAGTTACATGGCTGCCTTTAACTTAACGTTTAATTTCAGACTTTTGTTTCTTATTAAATTCCAATTTCGCCACCTGACAAGGTAGCACTCTGGATTACCAATCCAGTGACATCATCATTACCGTCTCCCATATTCTATAACAGGAACACATCCTGTCTCAATGTCAATGTTCACTTATGGACAAATCAATGACTGTGGTATCTAATTCTAACTAACTCAGTCAGCAAACAGCATCTTCAGTAATTTATATTGCTCCTTGGAAATAGTGGCAATTACCTTCTTTTTAAATTCATTCACTGGGTGAGGCCATCATTGGCTAGGCCAGTATTTATTGCTATCCTTAAATGCCCAGACAGCAGTGAAGAATCAACCACATTATTGTGGGCCAGACCAAGTAGAGATGGCAGATTTCCTCCCCTGAAGCACATTTGTGTCAGAAAAACTGATCTGGTTCAATCAACAATGGAATCATGGTCTTCATTAGATTCTTAATTCCAGATTTTCTTTTATAAAAGAATCCAAATTCCACCATCTGCCATGGTGGCATTTGGACACTGGCCCCCATATCATTATCAGGGTCTCTGGATTAAAGTCTGGTGATAATACCACTAGGCCCTTGCCTCCCCTTTCTCACCTAATATGGAGATTTCCCATATGGAAGGATACCATGTTTAAAATAAAGTTTATTTAATAATTTACGAAAGAGACTTTCAATGTAGATTATGCAGACCCTTGCTACCAATGGGAGGTGTAGAAAGCAATAGGTGGGGAAAAAAAAAGAATATTTGAAATGCTGGTAACCAGACTGATCCAGATCAAGTTTGTGATGTGACAGTAACATAAACAAGGTTCAATTTGTGGGTTGACTTTAAAACAAATAGTGAATAAATAAAGGGAAATTGTTTACAAACTTTAAGCCCAGAGCTCTTCCAACTGTTCCCCAGGCTTTTCATTACTCCTTTGTTTTATTCATTGATTGGATAAGGGCAATGCTTGCAAGGCTAGTAATTATTGCCCATCCCTAAGCACAATTAAAATGGTGGTGCAGAACTGCCTTCTTGAACCATTGCACTCCATTTGGCAAAAGGCACATCTACAGTGCTAGAAGGATGGATATTCTAGGAATGTGACCCAGTAGAAGTGAATGAAATGGCGATATAGTTCCAAGTGAGCTTATATGTGGCTTAGAGGAAACTTGCAGTGGTGTTCCTGTGCACCTGCTGCTGTTGTCCTTCTACGTCTTAAGAGGCTGGCGACTCAAGAGGTGGCATTGAAAAAGCCTTGAACTGCTGTAGTGTACCCTGAACATGGTACATACTGGAGGCACAAGCACCTGTGTTAAAGGGAATTAAGGCCTCCAAGCAGCATCCTAGGCACAGCAATTTATGGTTGGTCTTGTTAAGTTTTTGTCGCTCCCCTGGTTGTTGATGGTGAGGGATTTAGTAAAGGTAATCCCACTAGGATATGGACAGTTTGTCTTTTGATAATGATGATCATGGTTTAGTACTTATATAGCACAAATGCCATATTAATCAGACCATGCATAAATCTTGTCCAGTTCTTGATGCATGCTGGCAATGACTGCTTCATTATTTGAGAAATTGTGAACTGTAGCCAGTGAACACACCATTTCTGACATTATGGTAAAAGGAAGGTCATTGATGATGAAGGTGAAGATAACTGGATCTAGCACAGTGCCCAGTGGAACTCCTGCAGTGATATCCTGGGGCCTAGAATGAATGATCTAATGAAACCAAATTTCATGGTTCTAGATATGATTCCAGTTAGAAGAGAGATTTTCCCAATTTCCACCTACTTCAATTTCAATAGGACTCCTTGATGCCACACTCCATCAACAACTGCCTTGAGTTCAAGGGCAGATACACGCACTGCTGACTTTCAGCTTAGTCTTGATCCAAACAGGGACTGAGTTATAGAACCAAGTGGTCTTAGCAGAACTCAGATTAATTTTGTTGAGGAAGATATTTGTGAGCGAACACCATAAGATAGCATTGCCGATGGCATCTATGTTCACTTAACATGATTGAGAGAATCCTGACGCAGTAATTACATAGTTGGCATTTGCTCAATATTTTGTAGATTGTGAAATTTTACGAATTGAGAGGTAGGTTCCAGTGTTATAGATGTGTTGAAACAGCTTGACTAAAGGTGTTCCAGAGCACGTCTTCAGCAGCATATGCAGTATGTTGTCGCAGCCTATAGGCCTTTGCCATATCCAGTCGGTGCAACAATTCCTTGAAATGAGGTGAAGGAATCAAATTAGTTGAAAACTGACTTCTATGATGGTAGGATTTTAGGAAGAGGTGGAGATGAATCATACGCTCTGCACTTGTGGCTGCACATGATCATGTTGAATGGTTGAGCAGGGTCAACAGGCTGAATGGTCTCCTCCTATTTTATATGTTTCTATATTTTTCTTTCCTATGCACCAGTGCAATGGTGCAGATATTTTCTAATCAATCTATTCAGTAGGTAGTGAGCCATCAAGGTAAATGATAACAGGACACTATCTAATTCCATTGATAATTTCAAAGTCAACATGGATTTTAGAAAAAGGAAATCATGTTTGACAAATCCCCTGGAATTGTGTTTGAGGATACAACTAGTAGAGTAGATTAGGGGGAAAGTAGTGGGTGTGGTGAATTTGGATTTTCAGGTAATTGAGGGTAATATGTCAGTATGGATTGAGATCGGTCAGGGTCAAGTGTAGAGTGCATAACTTCACTGTACGATAAGTATACAAAGCAACTAGCCTCAAAATTTGACTAGCTCGAGGCAAGGCCGACTGATGAGCAATGAGATGATGAGCAGGCTGATCACCTGCTCTGGTCTGATCTTCAACATGTCCATGTAAAACGGTTCATTTGAGAGTGTAAGCATTGTATATGTAAGATTTTTGCAGTTTCTTTTTGTAGCATACTTGGCTTTACAAAGAACATTGGGTATATTCCATTGTTCGAACTGCCTTAGGTTACTGACATCCAGAGTAAACTTGACAGGCCAGGGAAAGTGGGAATAAAAGCCTACACTAAATATGTGCCCACACTGTACAAAATACTCCAGCTGAGGTCGAACAAGTGCCTTTTTAAGTACAGCTTCACGTCCTTGCTCTTGTTCTCTATACCACTATTAAAGCCAAGAATTCTGCATGCTTTAACAACTCTTCCCACCGGTCCTGTCACTTCCAGCGATGTGCGCACATATACACCCAGATCCTGCACTCTCTAGAATTTACCAGTTATTTTATTTCATCTTTCAATGCTCTATCTACCAAAGTGCATCACCTCATACTTCTCTGCATTGAGCCTTATCTGTCCACTTCTCTAATTTGTCAATGTCCTTTTGAAGTTTCACATTGTTCTCCTCAGTTTATAATTCTTCCACGGTTTGTGTCATTCGCAAACTTTGAAACTGTCTCCTGCTCACCAAGATCCAGATCATCAATATATATCAAAACAAGCAAGGGTCCTAATGCCAACCCCTGGAAAACTCCATTATAAAAACTTTTCCCCAACCTGAAAAACATCCATTGACCATTACACTCTGTTTCCTAACACTCAGACAATTTCGTATTCACATTGTTATTGTTCCTTTTATAGGTTTCCTCAAATCAGCAGTCTGGCACTGTATCATGTGCCTTTTAAAAATTTGTGTATACCACATCAACATCGTTACGTGTTATCTCTTTGAAACAACTTGAGCAAATTAGTGAAACACAATTTCCCCCTTAAAAATCCATGCCAACTCTTCCTAGTTAACCCACTATTTTCCAAGTGACTACTAATTCTATCCCGAATTACTGTTTCTAGAAGTTTCCCCACCACCAAAGTTAAAAGGCCTTGTCTGTAATTGCTGGGATTATCCTTACAAGGTGGTAGCTAATGGCGTATCACAATGAGCTTGAGCCCCAGCTATTCACAATATATATCAATGATTTGGATGAGGGAATTAAAGGGAATGTTTCCAACCTTGACAATACAAAACTAGGAAGAAATTATGAGTGGTGAGGTGGAAGTAAAGAGGTTTCAAAGCAACTTAGCCAGGTTATACCATGTTTGCCTACTCATTCAATGTGAATAAGCTTGAAATTATTCACCTCGGGTGGTTGGGGGGGATGGGCAAGAGGAAGAAGCTAAGTCACAAATATATTTAAGAAAGCAATTGATAGATTTCGGAATTCAAAAACATTAATGAGTATGAGGAGAGGAAGAATGTGTTAGAGATAGAAAATCAGACATGTCAGACTGAATGGCACACTCTTGCTCCAATTTTCTATGCTTCTGTGATTCAAAGACTTCAACCTTGTGCTCTGCACTCACGCGCTGGGCTCTTCAACATTGAAGAATGAGATGAATGTGGATCCTCCTTCTTTTGGTTAGTTGGTTTGTTGTCCACTACTATTCACCACTCGGAATGCTAAGATTGTTTGATGTGACTCGATCACATGGTGTTTCTAGTTCCTAATCTGCAAACAATCCTGTAATGTAGTTTCCCCTGCATAGAATAACTAATACTGTGACAGACATGTTCTCCTGCACTTCTCATTGAATCCATTTATACACTGGCTCGACGACAATGCCAGAATGTGCAATGGGCCAGGTACTGAGGATTTATGTAGTGATTGAATATAATTCGGTTGATGATCCATAGCATCTCAAAGACACCCATTTTTGAGCTGCTATATCTGTTCTGAACTAACATTTAGTAGTGAATGTGTCATAGAGCATGATGGAAGTGTGATAATAGGAAGTCAACTTTATAAGGACTGTTGTGATCATTACTAGCAGTGCAGAACAAATTCATCTTTGTCAGGTAAATTACTGGGGGTCAGTTCAAGTAGGTTATTTCCCTTGTGGTTGCTCCCAGCCCATCTGCTCCTAGTTATTCTGGCAGCTATGTCGATTGGTCCGCAGTGGTACTGCAGGGTCATTCTTAATGATAAATGCTTTAAGACCTCCGTTCAGATGAAAACGCACTCCCTTTCTGCGTTCAATCCTTTCAAGTGATGTTCAATGCAGAAGTGAAGCAGGTGAGACTTGGATCAATGTTAAAATCTGTTTAAATCCAAGTTTAAAATCAATGTTAAGCATGGTCAGAGTCACTCTACATTACATTCCGACTTTACATTAGTGTGCCACCTCGTATGGCGGATTTATGGGGTACAATGTAGTGAAATATGGTAATGGAGGAATGTGGGACATTTGCCACTTTGGCAAGGTTCAGTGAGTGCAACCATGTTAGTCTTTCGCTTGTCTGATCTGCAGGGAAGCTCTCCCAATTTTGGCACAAGTCCCCACAGGCTAATGAAGACAATTCTGCAGGGTTAACCGGGCTTGCTGTGCCTTGGTCAATGCTGATTGGTGCTCCAATCTTTTTGTAGAGATTTGATTAGCTTCTTAAACAATCGTCGAGGGTAACTAAGAGCCAAAACTATTGTGTTTGACCTAGAGTCACAGAGGCTGGTCCAGGTGAGAATCACATACAGGTCACAGTAAGGATAGGAGAAATCTTTCATTACCTGATATTAGCCAATCAGCTGAGTTTTTACAACAATCCAGTTGATTCATAATTACAATGAATGATAAGAAGATTTTTAATTTAGTTTAGTTTTGTTTAAATATATATGCCCCACCTGCCATACTGTTGTTTAAGTTCATCTTCAGACCATGAGACCAGGTCTTAAGATTACCAGTATGATAATAATCACCGAACTACTGCATTTGTAAATATATGTACATATTTTCATCATAGTCAAAACCACTATTTGATGGTAACATTACATTTTCATTACACAAAATGACAAGATATCTTTTAACCTATGATTTTAGGGTCAAATTCACGATGACTTCAACTTTTGTGCAAGAATCATAAACAATGGTTTTGATTGTAGTTTACCATATAACATAGTGAGGGTTGTATCCCAGTCCTAACCTCCCCACATCATCTTGACGGAGGGCAGTGAAGCCAGGAGTTCGTCGTTTACTGACAGTCCTAATTCATTGTATGAAAACTTCCCCGGTTTATACAATTCAGTAACAAGCGCTTAAACTACTCAACTTAGAGAGTCCTTTTTAAGTGACTGTTAATAATAAACAATACTACTTGAAAACCTATTTAATAAGAAATATCATTGAGTTTCAGCCTCATTGTAGTAATGTTTTCTAAGTGTTTTAAATACATAAAGTTATCCCTTAAATGTATCTAATAATGGAGAAGTAGCAGCCACCAATATCCCTTGTAATATTTTAGGGTGCTACCTCTAAATTTTTTCCCATGGTAATCAGAAGAGGCAGACTTGTATGTAGCTTAGATTTTGCTTGTTTTGCTTTGGGGAAACATTGGCATTCAATTTTAAAAATTTGTTAAAAAAACTTCAGAGTATCATAGGATGGTTCACTATTCTCCATTAAATAAGCATCTAATCCATTATAATGAAGTGCCAAGTGCAAGTTAGAAACCTTTCACAACCGCAAGGATTTTTAAAAAAACAAACTCAGGTTATACATTTTTAGAAATCAGCGTTAGTACACAGTACTTACCCAATGACTTTTTTTTGTGAAGGGAAGCAGATACGGTCAAATGAGAGAACCAATGAGAATAAGGAGCAGGACAGAATTTCACAGACTTTATTTAGATACAAGGTACAACTACAACTGGATTTGTGAATTCCTTTGCACAATTTCTCCACAAGTAATTTGACCAAGGTCCCATTCAATCATCTCATTTTTTTTTTTGAAAAAGAGCAATGAAAAGAGGATTAAGTATTTCTCTGATTAGAAGTGGCTTTATGCGGAATTCTGGAAACTTTCACTGGACAAACTGGAAGCACTGCTTCTAAAACAAAATCCAGTCTCATTATTTCCAGTTTGTTACCTTTTATAGCTGGCAGTAAATGTGGAGTGACGACCTGGTTTAAACTCCATTAATGGAGCTTTCCTCAAAGAAACGCTCAGATGAACCACTTTTGCAACAAAACCACTATCTCTTTCTTTTTGCAGCGAAAGACTAATTTTGATTACATTGCCCATTTAGTAGAAGCTGCAAACAGACAAGAGATTAGTTTACTGGTGCACAAGAGCTTTGTAGTTTAAAATAAAACAATAGGCAGGAACAAGTGATGTTAGACTAAAAATGAATGCAGACTTCATGCGTGGCAATAACATGTTTAACAGTTCTTAGCACAAGTGCAACAAGAATACCCCAGGTTGCATTTATGGTCTGGTGAATTAGCTGATCTCAACAGAGGAACTATTGGAAACATTAAAATTAGTTTGTGTTGATGAGTTCTGAAAGAAAAAGTGAGATAGAAGATTTTCTTGCATACACACAAGAACATAAGATGGGGTAGGAATTACAAAGATGTCAAGGCATATTGTTGCCAAGGACTGGATCAGGCTAACAATTGTGTAAGATCAAGCACTTGACAAATGTACAGCAGCATTGCTGATATCAGTAAAATTGCTTCCCAGCATGAGTCACCATATTTATAAACAATTTAAGGCTAGAGAGAACAGCAATGTTAAGAGAAGAGAGTTTTGCATATACTACAACTGCAATGGTTTGAATCTGCTTTCACTTTATTTGTCATCACCAATTAATTAATTATGCGCAACATGAACACAAATCATTTCAAAAGTACTTCCCTCTTCAACTGAAACCCTGCTAAGCACAGCAATAACAAATCATCCTGTTATCTACACTATGCAGATCCAAAACAGCTCGGCGAGCCAACCAACCTCAACACCCACAACCCGAGCTACAGATCTACTCCAAAACCTTAGATCCAATGAAACTACTTTCACTTACCAGCTAACCTGTGTGGAATTGAGTTCAAGTGCTTGCTTAGGAAAGCCTCATTAAAACTCTTTGGATTTGTGTCTCCAAACAACCTGCTCATTTGCTGCGTCAGCACTGTTTGAACAGCATCAGGCACATTTTTACTCTCCGATACTGCAACAATAAAAGAAAAATTTGTTTGTTCATCTGTGTAAGCATACTTTTCAACATTATACCAATGTAAATGAGAAGACAGTTTTTTAAAAAAAAAAAAATCACACTTTAAATGAACAGTTTAATTTGAAAAAATTTAATATGCTTTTGAGATCATCTATGTTGTACTTGTTATAGAGGTGACCTGTACCTGGCTATGGAAGGTAACTTGGACTTGGACACACTAAGCGGCCCATGCCTGCTTACAAGATGGCAGACAGAAGCTAAGCAAAACTAAGCAGCCTGCTCACACAGTGAAATACAATGGTACCTTTGGACAGAACGGCTAGAGGGTCAGCAAAAGAACGCTGTACGTTCCCATCTGAGACAGTTCTGATAAAAGGATGACTTAGGACAGATAAATGACCAATTCCAGCTTTATTAACAAAAGGACGATTGTCCCAGTAAATGAATAACGTCAGGTGCTACATTAGGTCCTCAAGCAGCTGCAAGGATAACAGCTCAAGTTATTTTGTAGTAAATAGTTGCCTCTTTGAAGCTACCAGAAATATTAAATAGTTTCTAGCTAAAAATGCTCTAATCACAGAAGTTGATTTCAACATATAACCAGGATATAATACAAGCCTTAGAAAAACATTTAAGCTTAGATGTAAAGATTAAACTAGCCTTAGGAGACGCCTTCTCCTATGCCCTGAACAAGATAGATCGATCACAACCCATAAATTACCAAATGCTTACAGTAGAAATAGTTGTATAACGTTACACTTTTAATTAACTTTATAAACAGAAGTTAACCTCATAGCAATTAGTTAAAACTGACTTTTTATTTTCACAATATGTAATCGGGAAATGGGAAAATAAAAGGAGTAACTGAATGTGATAAAAGACAGCACCAAAATACAATGGGTGATAGAATTTGAGCTGTCCTTACAGATAAACAAGCCTGAGAAAGACCCAAAGGAGTATAGCCATTAAGCTTTTAGAATGCATAGGAAGATCCTGAGGCTTAGCGATTACAATGTGTAGCTGTCCATGGAAGTGCCCATTATTGAATAGGTGTCCCACAGGATTGGGGGAAGGCCAGTGACTATGTTGTATTTGATTATCGTAACACAAAATGTATAAGAATGCTGTATTCCTTCGTAAAAGCAGAGGGTGTGTCATTGATCTATCTTCCAAAGCCAGATTTGGGGAAGATCCGTTGGCCCTCTCCCTGCATAAACCGGTTTCTGCTTGAATAAACATCTTCCACTTGCCTGAATCCTGCTTGCCTCCACAGTCTTTGTCCTGGGTTGGGGGAAAAATAGATTGGCGCAGCAAGAAGGGTGCCCAGCCTGAAGCTGGTACACCTCAGGCCACAATCTGGTTAAGTATGTTTATTTACCACTCTTTCTAGCCAGCATGGCACTTGGTGGTGGTGGTGGTAGGGGTGGGGGTGTGCGGCTTCTGCAAGCCAGGACATGAAACAAACTTTTAGAGTGGACTGAATATGAGACACAGGATCAAGCATTGAGGAAATGAGCACCCAGCACGAGAATGTGTGAAATGACGCAACTCCCTGCTCGTAATATAGGAGAAAAGTGGGGGTTGCGAGTCCCGGCACTATCATGTGCAAAAATAAAGAAGAAAAAAAGTGAAATAAGAAGAGGAAAGAAAAGCGAAAGACCAGAAATCTCTGGCACGAGACAAGTGTGAAGTAAGAAAAGAACAAGGGTCTGGGAAACAATAAAACAGTAAAATAGAAGCAGCCACAGTTGGTAGAGAGTCTGGGGAAGTGGCAGGGAAGAACTGTGGAAAAATGGACTGGGGTCCAGACCAGTTCATTCTGTAGACTGTGTTTAAAAGAAGAATGCAGAAACATGCTGAAATAGCTAGTGTTCATAAGTGCCAAAGAGAGCGAGTGAGATGGCTCTCTGTACTAGTTCACTGAATCCTGTAGAGGTGTTAACTCTGTGGTCTGGCTTGAATGCACCTTTCTTTGTTGATTGCTAAATGTTGTTTTGTGCAATTTGTGTGTTCTTGTTCCCTAGAGCTGGAGATCTGAGGATGCTTTGAAGTTAGTTTGCATTTTGGGAACGTGTGGTGATTTAAATGTGCGGTGTGCCTGTGTAAGTAGGGACATGTATGGTTAACGTGATGTCTGTTTAAGAAACTTTCAGTGGTTGTATGAAGCAGAAGCCTATAACGAAATGTGGATTTAAAAGGTTAGTTTAAAGCTTGGTAAAAAATAATCTTTTGAATTGGCTCTGTATTGTGTTTGGACTTTGAGAAAATTTTAATTTCAGAAATTACCATGTTTGGAATTTCATTTACTGGCCAGAAATGAACTTCCAAAAACTGTTTTAACATGAGTGAATCTTTAGCTCCAGATGATAAGATTTGATCATTGTAAAGCTACTGTGATGTGAAAGTATGCAAATGATAGGAAATTTGGAATCTTGGGAATGCAATTTTCTTTGAACCAAATTCTGATATATTCTAAAGTCTGAGAAAGCAGATAGACGAATTAGAAAAGGCAAACTTAACAGAGAAGGTGGTTCAATACTAATTAACCCATTCTGCTTGACATGGGATAGATAGATACTTCCTTAGAAATTTTAAGTCAATGTACAATGATACTTTACTGCTACTGGGTGAAATAATCTGTGGATAAGAGAACTGGAGGATTTAAAAAAAAAACAAACAAAATAATAAAGTACTCAACTGGGCTACGAAAGCAGAAAATAACCAAGAGAATAATAAGGAACTAGCAGTTGTTACAGGGTGTGGGTGGCACTCTAAACCAGCCACCCATAGCCAATGGATTGAAATAAAAATTGCAGATTGTGTGATCAATGCTTGTATATGTGTAGAAATACTTAAGATAGTATATTAGGAATGGATTTGCTAGAACAATTTGGAGCTGTAATTAACAAACAAGAAGCAAAAATTGATTGGAATTGCTGGTTTAAATTTAGAAGGACAAGGACTGCATGTTTCCTTAAGAGCATCTGTGCTGCCACATCTGAGTGGGAATGGAACCCTGAGAATCTCTACCATAAATCAACAATGATGTGCCCCAATTTATAGGCAACTACCAAAACTGGTTTCAGGAGATGAGATATAAGACCAACTGAAATACCTGGAAATGTACACACACCAAATAGGCAGTAACCTATCAGACCTGAAGCTGTTGAGTCAGTTAAAGAAATTGTGAAAGATTTGGAGAAACAAGAAGAGAGACGTGATTGTATTTCCCTGTTTAGAGCGAGAAGAAGAAAAACAAGGTCGAATTAGGGAAGAGCCATTACAGGGGCCAGATGTGAAATGCACGTTTGTAGATGGGCACGGAAGTATTATGATGGTGAGGCCCAGGCAGGGTGGGCTGTGGTTAATTTGAAAGGGGAGCTTTTAGCAGGAGAGAGAATAGAAGGATGTCACTCCATCAGGTAGCTGAACTAAAAGCACCTACTGCAGCCCTGCAGTTAGGAAGAGGACAAAGGGTTAAACATCTACACAGACAGTAGGTATGCCTTCGGTGTAATCCATGACTACCTGATGGCATGGGCAAAGCAGCAGTCATTAAAATAAAAGCACACAGGAAAATTCAAACAACAGAGCAAAGAAGAAATAGTTATGCAGATAGTGCAGCAAAAGCGATGTTAGAACAGAAAGTGATAATGATTGCAGTTGCAAGACAGCAAGAAGCCAAAGATGATGAATGAGACATTTTACATTTACAAGCAGCAGCTAGTTCAGAAGAAGTGTAATAGATTAAAAAGACAGGGCAGCGTTAGGAGCAGATGACACTTGGAGAAAAGGCAGCAAAGTGGTAGCCTCCACATTCTGCCAGCAGATGTTATGCAATGTTTACCATGGAGTAGCACACAAAGGGAGAAATAAAATGATACAGCTGATATCTAATTGCTGGTGGTGGAAATGAACCGGAAGAGACATAACTAAATTTTGTCAAAGATGCACTGCATGTGCATAGACAGAACAGGGCAGGGAATTAAAATTAAAATAACCCATCAGCCCCGTCCAAGGGGGCCATGGGAACACATTCAAGTGGATTTCATAGGGTCACTCCCACAAAGTCAGAATAAGAAATTCTGTCTGATCATGATTGACCAGTATACCAGGATGGGTAGAAGCTTTCCCCACAAAAGACTATACTGCAATATCAGTGGGAAAAATATTGGCAGCAGAAATAATAGATACAAATAGATTCATACCAAGAGACCCACTTCACTGTCAAGTGCCTGATGGAAGCACGTAAACTACTGGGAGTAACACAAAGGTATCACGTCTCCTACCATCCGCAGAGCTTGGGGCTGGTAGAGAGGATGAATAGAACAGTGAAAAATGCTCTGACCAAGGCAACGATAGGAGAAGGGGTTAAATGGACCCTTTCCCTACCACCCATTCTCACGGCCCAGAGGGCAACACCCTCTAGGGCCATGGACTAACACTCTTTGAACTCATGATAGGACGAGCTATGACACTCCCCCAGGAACTAATTGGGGGGGGAGCAGAACTGACTAACAGCAAGGGACAAGTCTGGGATTACATGAAATCCCTCTGCAAGCATCTACACGTACTTCATGGACAGGCACAAGACCAGCAGCTTGTTAAGGACTGGGGGTCCAAGGGACACCCTGGACAAACAGAAATGCAGCCCCAGGATCAAAGGTCCTGGTAAAAATAATCCCAAGCAAGGGAGCCTTGTCCCCTGGTGGGATGGACCTCAGGAGGTAATATTAACAGGTAACAGAAGTGCACTTATTGATGAAAGTGGTATTCGTAAATGGAGACATCCTACACAGCTAAAAGTATCTAATCAGGTGACGGTCTAGCTTGCCAGTCTGATTTTCTTTCTCTCTCTCTCTTAGGTTTTAGAGGACTGTCAACTGTGCACACCAACAAACAGCAGGAACAGGATCCTCAACCCCAGGACAACAACCGGAACAGATTAAGGTCACGTGTAAATATATGTGATGCAGTTATGTAGTAAAGACTGTAATTAAGAGCATTGCTGAAATTAGAGTACGAAAATGCTAATCCTTTGTGGGTTCCTCTTTCTTTTGATCCCAATCGGAAGCTGATAGGCAAATAGAGAAGAGGAATTTGAAATATTAATACGTTTTTATATTTATCACGTGTATGCTACAGAGCATAAATGTTTCCAATTGCTGGGTCTGCACCCATGTCCCCATACACTCTAAGTGAGGGATACCAATGCGACTCATCCCCTTTAATGCTTCAGAATTAGTTGAATGGGTATTAAGACAGAACAGATGAAAACAGGGAGATAGAGACGGGCATCCTACCAATAGTAGAAAGTACTTAGTAAATACTGACCCGCACAATGGAAATCAGCAGGGTATAACCTGACACCTTTACAGGATGGTACCAACCCAACTATATGACCACCCCTTCATCACATTGACTAAAACATCAGGGATAGGGACTTCATCTGCGTAATGAGAATTGAAAGCCAAGGAGAAAGAACACTGATGGATTTAGCAACTGCACCCAGAGTTATAACACTTCCACATACCCTCTCCCAAGACCCATCAGGGCACTCTTCCTGACCAGGGGATCGCTAAACTTGTCTCTCCTCATGCACGGCGGCCCTAGCCTCCTGACCTCCAAGAACCTCACGAGTAACAGAATGTTCCAACAACGCTGGTACCCCAAGATTATTATCCGATTTGTCCCGCACAACAGCACCTACTTTGTGTGCAGACAGAGCTGATGCCTGGCTACTCCCAACCTGGATGGGATCATGTAACTTGGCTTAGGTAGTACATATGCCACACAGCGTCCCTCCTGCAGATGATGCCAGAAAGACACAAACGTGCAATTTCAGGAGCGGACAGGCTCCTCTCCATATTCTTACCCTAGTACGGCACAGACAAGTTATCCAGAGAATCTATCAATTTGGTTAAAGTCTTAAAGCAAATGACCAACGACACCTCACGAGCTTTAAGCAAAATAAATGCAGAAATGGTCGCCATACAAACCACAGCATTGCAGAACCGAACAGCCCTTGACACGAGGTTAGCCAAGAAAGGAGGAACATGTGCACTCATCTGAAAAGGGTCCTGTATGCACAACTCAGAAGCAATTACTGATCTGGCCGACCATATCCAAAAAGAAATGAATAAACTCAAGCGACCTCCCTCTTTGACCCTACGGAGTTGGGCGAAAAGGTTGCTGGGATCCCTTGGAATGTCTTTTGTACAGGGAATAGTAATGTTTGTTGTAGCACTGTTCTTATGTTACATTATTTTTGTCTTGTAAAATGCATTATGAACATGATAATGAAGGAGAGGACTGCAGAAGAGCCATGGACCAAGGGGGTGGCCCTACTATGTACCATCAAGCCAACAGACTACTAGTGGAACGGCAAAGACCATCTCAACGAATGACAGCATGAGGATCATCGACGCAACATCACTTTGTGAAGAATACTCTTGGAATTTGATTTGGATTTTTGAACTCTGATTTGGACTGCTTGAATTAATAGTGGCCCTGCGCCATAATTTGGCCTTGGGCCAAAGGGGGATCTATAGGGGTAACCTGTATCTGGCTGTTTTGTTTTTTTAAGGCTTGTATTTCACTGTGAGCGCAGGCTGCTTAGTTTTACTTAGCTTCTGTATGCCATCTTGTAAGCAGGCATGGGCCGCTTAGTGTGTTCAGGTACAAGTCACCTTACAGAACCAGGTACAGGTCATTCCTATACTTGTGTTTGCTACAATTCTTTGAAAGTTTACTGAAATAATCTGATCATCAATATGGTAATTATGGCAAAATGCAATATGAAAAAAGGCAGCTATGTATGGATGCCAAACAATTGGTGACCTCAAGACGGATTAACTCCATCGAAAATTTTATTGTAAATTCAGCAAGACATTGTTCCAATATTCTCCACACATAATTCTAAGTATCAGAATACCACGTCCTTTCCCTCTCCTGAATTGTTATCTTGGCAAAGAAGATAGAGGCCATTCTTTGCAAAACAGCATGAAATTGAGAACAACCTCTACACTTCTTCATAAATTTCCAGCCCACGTATAGCAAACAGCATTCTCAAAAATGTTTCAACAGGATTCAAGGTGGTAGTCAAAAAAATACTTTCCTGGAAGTGCCCGAACTCTACTTATCTTTCACAAATTAAAATGAGGAAGTCATCATATGAGAAATGAAATCATGCTGCATCAGTGTGTCTTTCAAATATGAATGCACTGTAATATCTCAGAATATTATACAAATTACTTGATTTAACAATGTAAAAAGACAGTTTCTTAAATCAGGTTCTACTAGAATATCTATCACAGTGCTTTTTTTTTCGCCAAAATTTTAAACAGCATTACTTGGTCATCAGCATATACATTTAATAATCCATAGAATTTCTAAGCTAAATGAATCGATGACTTTACATTTTTTTAAAACCTGCATTGTGAAGATAAAGTAACAAGTTAAAAGCATGTTAACCGAGAGGTACGCTCAACACTAACTGATATAAAAAAATGCCGGTTATAATGTTTCATCATACCAGCTTTGAAGAACCTGAACAAACACTCATGGAGCCAAGGGTTGTCAGGATCAATGGCAAAAGCTCTTTTGACTGACTGCAACATCAGAAGGAATTTCTCTACAGAAACAGAGATAAAATGGCACACTGTTAAAAAGAAAATCAAAGAAACATGTTGCGCTTCAGGTCCTTTACCGAGGTTTCAAACTTTGCTTCTAATAGATTGTTCTTTAAAGAACAGCATCGGTGACTCCATAGCCAACGTGCCAGCCAATTTTCTGTGATAGGATACTTGGGAATGCCATGGTTTTTGTTGAACAGTGCCTAATATGATGTCAGGATTATAGTTCAAATCCTCAGCCAAAGAAAACACCTCCAACAATGCAGTACTCCCTCAGGACTACGGTAAATTGTCAGCGTAGATCAAGGGCTCAAGTAGCAAGTGCACAGAATGAGGCCAGTTTATCAAGTCCATGCTGCTCTCCACACCGAAATCAGCTCCATACTCCTGTTCTATTCCCATACCCTGTGACTAATGTGCCTCAAGTACCCATCCAATTTAGTTTTGAAATAATTCACTATCACCACTTCCGCTATTCTTTTGGCAAAGAGCTCAGGACACTTGCTATGTATAAATATTCATCACGTCCCTCCATATCTCTTACCCAAAACCTAAAATCTGTGCTGTTTAGTCCCTGTACCAACAATTAGCGGAGACAGACCTGTCTATTTTATCTCAACGCTTCATAATCTTGCACACCTTGATCAAATCTCCATTCATCTTCCTTTGCTCCAAAGATTTTTCAACCTAAACGTGCAGATAAAGTCCACGGAATCATTCTGGCACATCATCTTTGCTTCTTCTCAAGGAACCCCACATTCAGCCCATGAATTCTGCTCTACTGTTCAATGAATTCATGGCAGATCTTATTATTCTCAACTTCACACTTCCTGCCTCTTTGTAACCCTTGATTCCTTTGCTGATAAAGAACTATCTATCTCAGCTTTGAAAACCCTCTATTGCAAAGAATTCCCCATATTCACTACCCTCCAAAGAAATTCCACTTCATCTATATCTTGGATGGATGGACCCTTATTCTGGGACTATGCCCTCTAGTTCTAGACTATCAGAGGGAAAACAACTTTTCTGTACCGATTCTGTCAAGCCACCCTTAAGAATATTCTGTTTCCAAAGTACACCTCTCATCCTTCTAAACTCCAATGAGTGCAGGCTCCACCTCTCCTCCTAAGACAGACCCTCTATACCTGGTATCAGCTTAGTAAATCTTCGAGACTGCCTCCAATACCTTTCCTTAAATAAATGGACCCAAGACTGCCCACAGTATTCCAGCTGTGGTCTGATTAGTTTTAGTGAAAACTCTTTATGCATAAACTCTATTCCCTTTGAAATAAATGTCAATACTCAATTTGCCTTCCCTATTACCTGCTGAACTTGAATGTTAGGTTTTTGCGATTCATGGGTGAGGTCTCCCAAATCCCTCTGTGCCTTAGCTTTCACCATTTAAGTAATACTCTGCTCCTCTAGTCTTCCTGCCAAACAGCATAACCTCCCATTTTCCCCACACTGTGTTCCATCTGCCAAATTTCTTAATCTTATGTCCTTCTGCAGACTGTCTTCCTCGCTACTTTCTTTCCCACCTAATTTTGTCACCTGCAAACCTGGCTATGGTGTATTCACTTTCCTCATCCAAGCTGTTAATATATACTATAAATTATTGTGGCCCTAGCATTGATCACTATGGCACACTAGTTACAGGCTACCATCCTAAAAATGCCCTCCTTATCCCAATTCTCTCTTCTATTGGTTAGCTAATCATCGATCCACGCTAATATACTATACACAACACCATGGGCTCTCACCTTTTTAAGTAGCCTAACGTGGTACCATATCTATGCTATCTGAAAAATCCAAATATACTAAATCCTCCGCTTCCCCAAAAATCCATTCTGCTTGTCAACTCTTCAAAGAATTCTAGTAAATTTGTCAAGTGTGATTTCTCCTTCACAAAGCCATGCTGGCACCAATTAATGATACAAGTTAATGAGTAATAGTGGCAGAATTAGGCCATTCGGCCAATCGAGCCTACCCCGCCATTCGATCATGGCTGATGTGAATTCCACAGATTCACTATCCTTTGGGAGAAGTAGTTTCTCCTCGATTCTGTTTTAGATTTGCTACCCCATATCCTAAGACTAATGACCTCTCGTCCTAGAATGCCCCACAAGAGGGAGCATCTGCTCCATGTTTATTTTATCCATAACTTTTATCACCTTGAATCCTCAATTTAATCCCCCGTTATTCTTCTAAATTCCACACAGTATAGGCCTGAACTGTTCAATCTCTCCTCATACGATAAACCCCTTATCTCTGGGATCAATTTAGTGAACCTCCTCTGAGCTGCCTCCAATGCCACCATATCCTTCCTCAAAAAAAAAGGGGACCAAAAACTGTGCACAATATTCCAGGTGCAGTCTCACCAATGCCTTGTATAGTTGCAACAATAATTCCTTACTTTTATATTCTACTTCTTTAGCCATAAAAGCAAACATTCCATTCGCTTTCTTTATTATCTGCTGTACCTGCATGCTAGTTTTCTGTGACTGATGAACGAGGACACCCAGATCCCTCTGCACTGGAGTATCCCAAAGTCTCTCCCCATTTAGATAGTAGGTTGCCTCCCCCTATGTATTGCTAAATGCTCTATTACATCCTTTATTACAGACTGTAACATTTTCCCAATAACAGATGTTAACTGGTCTATAGTTACCTGCTTTTTGTCTCTTTCCCTTTATATGCAAGGGTGCTACATAGGCAGTTTTCTAATCCTCTGGGACTTTTAGAGAATTAATGGGTTCCTGGAAGATTACTTTCAGAGCATCCACTATCTCTGCAGCCACTTCCTTTAATATTCTAGAATGCATCCCAACTAGTCCAGGAACTTATCAGCCTTTAGTATATTAGTTTACTGAGCACTTTTTCTATAGTAGTAAATACATCCCTCCCCTCCTCCTTTGGCCTTTTGACTTATTATTTTGAAAATTTATTTGTCTTCTACTGTGAAGACTGATGCAAGATATTTGTTCAACACCTCTGTCATTTCCTGGTCCTATTAAAATAAAGTTTTCATAGTCCCTTCAATGTTACCTACCATTCTATTCTCATGGTCTTTTTCAGAGTCTGATTTTTCTCCTCTTCCCCTCCCAAATGATTGCTCCAGAAATCAGGCCATTTACAAAGAGTTGGATCTGAAATACATCATCCACCCTCTTTTATTTCAGTGTCTTCTCTATCTCCTTCGTCATCCACAGAACTCAGGTTTTAATTCCCCAATGTTTCATCCTTATTGGAACATGGTTAACTTCACATGAAGCATCTCCTGCTTGAAGATCATGTACTGCTCATGTCTTTCCTGTCAATCTTGGGTTCCACATCAATCTGGCTCATATCTCTCATCTGAATTAGTTCTCTTCAAATTTAGAAGTCTTACTTTAGATTTTTCTTTGTTCTTCTCCATTACTAATTTAAACCTTGAGAATCATAAATTCTTCTTACTCAACCACTGCCCCAGAAGGATCATTTCACTGCAAAGCAGCAAATCAAAAACAGAAATTGCTGTCAAAGCGCAGCACGTTTGGCAGCACACGAAGAGAAATCAGCTAACATTTTTCCTCAGAACCTTCTTCTGAGGGAGGGTCACTGGACCTGAAACACTAACTCTGATTTCTCTTCACACGTGCTACCAGACCTGCTGAGCTTTTTCAGCAATTTCTGTTTTTGTTTCTGATTTACAGCACCCTCAGTTCTTTTGGTTTTCATCAAATCCATGTGTCTCCTTCCCAGATGGACGTAAAATATACTGGTCAAAGAAGTTCTCTTGAACACATTTCAGAAATTCCTCCACCACCTTTCCTGGTACTCCAACATTATGAAATCCCCCAAGATCATCATGTGTCTTTTGCACGTGTCTTTTTTGCATTTGCACACATCTCTTACTATTTCAAGGCCTCACGATTAACCAGTAGTCTGATCATTTGGCTGCTCATTCTGCTTCTCAACTCTAACCGAATGGGTTCTATCTTTGTCCCCTGATGAACATCATCCTTTTCCAACAAACATTTTCCTTATTCAGTGACACCACCTCAGTGGTTTCTTTGATGGTGAACATGAAACCACCATTGATTGTTGCAGAAACCTCTGGTTCACTAATGTCTTTTAAAAAGAAGTAAACCTGCCACCTTAACCTGAGCTGGCCTACATACAACTCCAGTCTCACTAACTTGGTTGATCCTTAACTGCTCTCAAATGGGGCAGCAAGCAATTCCACTCAAGGTCAATTAGGGTTGGGCAACAACTGCAGGCCTTGATAGTGGTGACCATACCTCAAAAAAAAATGAAATTTTGAACTCACTCTTTTGTCTTTCCTTGTATTTCTGAAAACTTTGCAGTCTTTAACATTAAACACCCAATCTCAACATTTTTAAACAGTATTATTGCAGAATAGTACATTTTCACTTGTAGCTCAATTAACTTATTTAGTACACCATATTAGTTTACATACACGTATTCTAAATATTTTCTTTACAGTCTTTCTTAGGCTGCTCCTATCAATTACGATACCATGTACCTCTCTAGCATAACCCAACACATTTCTTTTTGTACCTTATTCTTCTCTTCCACTTTTCCAGGGTAGTGCCATCCCCTGGACAATTTTAAATCCTCAACATGCTATTGATCCTCCCAGCAAGTATATTAATCTCAATCTAGTTGAGGTGCAACCCATCCCTTCTGAATAGGTGCCTCCTGTCTCAGAACTGGTTCCAATGTCCCAAGAGTCCAAAGTCTTCCCTCCCATGCAATATCTCAAGCCATGCATTAAATTGTTCCCATAGATTGTGGCACCAAATAATTCAGAGATGGTTACCATTTAGGTCTTAAGTTTTAACCAAATTTCTAATTACTGAAAACCCGACTGTAAAACCTCAATATCAGCACTCTATGTGATGGCACTGATGTACACTGCAATTTTTGGTTTGCGCCCTACAAAAGACTTCACACTGCATTGAACATGTCCTTTATCCAAGAAGGCAACCTACAAACTGTAACTCATGATGATGGTTTCAGACATAACAGTTTGGCACCCAAACTTTGGGGTCTCCTACAAAGGAATGCATCGCTACTGTTTGTTGTTCCCTCCTGTACAGTCATTTGCTTATTGGTACCATGGTCTGGACTGTACCCCTTCTGGGTGCAATCACTTTAGCAGTTTCAGTGCGGCCCACACCCTGTTGCCTCTTCCTACACTTCAAAGCAACCCATGTACTATCCTGGACTCTTACTGTTTGTGGCAAGTGCATGAGCATCTTGTGAAATTCCACTACTTACCTTTTCTATAGTAGATTTCAAAAGCAAAAAGGTGGGTTTCAATTTTGTTCTTTACCAAGGTTTTCAAGGGCGTCAGAAATTTAATGGCTTCTTCAAGTGGACTGTCCACCTATTTAACAGAAAACAAAGTTTCTTAACATGGGTAGAAATTCAATATATATATGAATTTGTGATTGGCTGATAGCTTTGTGTTCTGATGTAGAAACTGTACAACATAACGTCCAGACACTCTGCACTGGTTTTGCTGCTATAAAAGCTCCAGCGTTCATACTGGCGACTAGAAAATTTAGACTATCTTCTATTATTGGTTTCTCAACCAGGGAAAACGACACCAATCAGTCCTCCTCACTTCCACACTAGAGCACTTTAACTAAGTTCACAAAACAGTACTTAGGACAAAAGACTCTACCAAATTCATCTCTAAACTCTGATGCCAAATAGGCAACCATACTGCTGACCTAGTTGAGATCAAACAATGCAGCACAGAGAAAAGGAACAATCAACTAATTCGGCTAAATGTGAAAGAACAGGTGATATGTTTAACATAATTACTCAAAATTATTTTAAAAGAATGGACCAGTTTGGATGAGAGAGAAAAGGAGGATTCAAAGCTCAGGCCTCACTCAAATTTGCCAAAAAATTAAACAATTTCATAAAATACATCTATAAAGCCATTCCAATTCCTTTAGTCAAATACAGAGGTTACTCTTATCTGATGATCTACAATGACAATATGGAATTCAAATAAAAAAAGGTATATATGAAGCAAAACTAATATTGACTACATACCTTTGCTAATTTCTCAGGTACAAGCTCCTCTTTTTGTGCACCAATCTCTTCCTCATCCTCTTCCTTTTTCTTCCTTTGATTTTTTAGTTGCTTCTCTTTTTCAGCATTTCTCTTCTCTTCCTCTAACTGTGCCTTCTTCTGTGCCCGACGCTGTTTATTTCGTAACTTCTTCAGCTCTTTATCTGAAAGATTTGCTGCAGAAACATATTTTTAAAAAATCATTTGAGGGTGGACTAAATAAACAAAGAAGCCATATGCTGGTCAGAACAACAGTCATCTTTATTAGAATAGGAAGGAAGAACAAGAAAGACCATTTAACCAGAAGCAACTGAGTACCTGTATCTGCTTCCAATTCTTTGTTCTCATCAGTTAGAGGATGGTCGTGAAGTTTCAGGTAGATCTCAATAGCCACCTTTGCAGCTTTAAAATAAAATGGATGACACCGGAGCACATCTTCTAGCTTTAGTAAATCCACATAAGACCTCAATGTCATTTTCCTCATGCAATAAGTGTGGAAATCAAATTGATCATCTGTAATTTCTGCAAAGTGCTATCGAAAAAAACTTCAAGTCAGCATAAGGGTAAATCAGAATCACAGGTTTTTAAAACCACATTTTACAATGTATGGAAGAATGCCATTCCCCAGCATATTTATCAAACAAGTATTCTGGATTGGACAATTAAGTTTTCAAGAACACTAGTTTGCGAGAAAATGGCTAAATAGGATTAAATAAATAACAATAAAATATAA